ACCAAGTTGGAAAGAAAAAGAGAGAGAGAGAGAGAGAGAGAGAGAGAGAGAGAAAAGAGAGCCGCGTTGGCTCAGAGGATAGAGCGTTCACCTCCTAATGAGGTCACCCAGAAATGAATTCTGCTCTCGGCTCACAAGTACCACAGTGTTGTTGTAAAATATCCTCAGTGGTAGGCGGATCATAGGTTAGAATTCCCTTGCCATCCGGTTAACCGTGGAAGGTGTTTTGATTTTCTCCTTCATGTAACGCAAATACTGGTTAGTTCCATCAAAAAGTCCTCCACAAAGGCAAGTTTGTCCCTATGCTTGATTCAAAAGCTCCCTTATTTCCTGAATAATGTTCGAAATTCAGGACTATGTAGTTTAACATTGATAACTGTTAACGCAGAATTAGGTCGGCTGTTCAAGGCTTGTTATAAAATAAACTGAAATTAATATGTATGAACATAAATGGTATTAATGTTTTGCATGGCTCTCTAATTTGCTTCACCTATCCAGTATATATTTTATTTTCAGGGGAATGGAAGCATTGGAAGTCCTATGTCCCAGATTATGTCTATAAACCCTCTAATAGTGCGGAGTATATATCTATTCTTATACCAAACATAGATAATGTTAGAACAGATTTCCTTATCAACACCATTGCTAAGCAAGGAGATGTAAGAATGGAGTAAAACTTTTACTTTTTAAATAAATTTTATACATATTTCAAAATCTTTTAATTAATTTCATTTAAATTATTACTGAAACAATTATTATCACCTCACAGTGCTTTATTGACAAATTATTTATCTAATTGTTGTTTTTGTTATATACTACAGCCTGTTTTGTTACTGGGGGAGCCAGGCACAGCAAAGACTGTGATTTTGAAAGCCTATACATCAAAGTTTAATCCTGAAATTCATGTAAGCAAAAGTGTAAATTTTTCATCTGCAACAACACCATTACACTTTCAGGTAATAATTTTGTATTTATCAGAAATTAAAAAAATTATAATACTGATGGTCATGTTAGTTTTTTTTTCTAATTTTCCCAAAAAATGGGTGTCTAACGCAATTATTTTTAACCAACTAGATCCAAATTTTGTAGAATCTAATATTAAGTTATAAGTACTATTCTTTGTACAAAATTTTAAAATATGTTTTTGAAAATAAAATATAATTTGTTAGACAAAATATAATAAAGTTGTCCAGTTAAATTATATTTGGTTTGGACCAAACAACGATTTTAAATTCACCATTAAGTTATTGTTCTAGTAGTAGTCATTAGATATTAAAATGAGCCAATATTAAAAACAAATTCAAAGTGTTAGTGAACTTTTCCTGAACTCAAAATTTTTTTGTGCTGTAGCCCCATCATGAAATTTTTCTTAGTGAACATAGAATCCTGACAGTTAGTAACACTACCGTCGTGCATACGCATTACGATGCATGGCAAATCTGTGGTTGCTGTCAGCTTGAAAAGAGAGGTACCAGTTCAGGAGCTGTCCACGTTGTCTGACTGTAATAAAAATTCTTACCACGACCGTTAAACAATAAATGCTTCGAAAATAAGATGCTTGGGGATGGCTAGCTTATTTGGTGAACACCGGGCAACAACCTAAATTCATTTTTTCTTTGTTTCTTTGTCATATTAAGTTTATAAAAGCGCATGTGATTTCGGTATCTTAATCCTAGAAAACCTTTTAAGTTTGGAAGAGTATTGTTGATGCCATAATTATGGTTATTAATTTCAGAAAGCAATTGAGAGCTACATTGAAAAACGAGCTGGAAACATCTATGGACCTGCAGCTGGAAAAAAGTTAACAATCATAGTTGATGACATAAACATGCCTCTAATCAATACCTGGGGTGATCAGGTAAAACTATGCATTGAACTTCTTTTATTAATTATTCATTTATTAAAAAGTTCGGACGTAAAACAATTCTATGGGATTTAGAGTATATTTGTTGCATCATGGACTTAGGGATATCAAAATCTGTCATGCATTTGAAAAAGTTTTGACTCGAAACTTATCGAAGCAAATTATTTAAACCGAATACTTACGAACGAGCATACATTATAACATACGAATACTATACATTATAACGAAAATACATTATATTTATGACGATTGATTTAAATAATTGCAATAAATAATTTGAATGCTTTTCTGGCTAAAGATATTTTAAATTACTCTAAAAAATTTCAAAATTACAAACAAATTTTTTTTTTTGGCTTTGATCAAAGACTTTTATCAAATCCTTCTAATATCAAGGATAATATATTCTAAGAACTATTTAAGAATTATATGAGGAATGAATAATAAAAATTTCATTTTGATTTAGTTAATAATATAATTATTCGTAAGAATTGGGATTTTATTCCCATAAAAAAGTTTTTCTCTCTTATTTTTTAAACAACGAATGAAGGAATAAAAAGCGTTGCCTCTCCTCAACGGTCACGTAAAGGAACTGTTGAATCTCAGAACTTTAGATTTTTTTTTGATTGATATAAAAGTATTCTTTACTTATATAGATAGAAAATACTCGTTTAGTATATTGATATTTAAATAGCATCTCTTTGAGTATCCTTCCAATTACAATGAATATAAGTCTATTCATTAGGTCGAATGCTATTCATGGTGTAATGTACATTTATTTGACATTCTATGTATTTTGATATAACCTTCAACACAAAAAACCTTTGAATATTTAAAACTATTTTTACTTCCTCCCTCAGGTTACCAATGAAATTGTACGGCAGACAATAGAAATGACTGGATTCTACTGCTTAGAACGTCCAGGAGAATTTTTAAAGTTAGCGGATCTTCATTATTTGGCCGCTATGTGTCAGCCCGGGGGTGGAAGGAATGAGATACCTGAAAGATTGAAACGGCACTTCGCCATTTTCAATTGTACTCTTCCTACAGATTCCTCTATTGACAAAATATTCGGTAAGTTCAAGCTATTTTTTCAATGAGATTCTGCTGAATTTCCAGTCGCATTTCTCCTTCGTTGACAAGATTAGTCATTCAATCTGTTTTTAAATGAACTTAATATAAATATTAAATTGCGTTCTCCACTATGCGTTTTAAGTAAAACCTAATCACGTACTTCTATAATTCTGTTCTATAATATAAACACAAAAGTTTGTGGCCTTTATTATTTGTTACCTTGACTTAGATCAGTGTTTCTCAAAGTGTGGTACGCATACCCCCTGGCGTGCGGGAACAGTTTAGACGGGGTACGAGTTCTTAAGCGAAATATATCACAACAAACGAAAATTTCAAAAAATTTTATTTAAAAAAAATTAGCCATAAAAATTTACGATTTCGTATTTTTCTATTGGCTATTTTTTGCAGAGTTAACAGTTTATAATTAGAGGCGTCAACAGCCAGTTATGATTTTGAACTTTCGTGCAATTTCTTATAGTAAAAAATACATTCATTTTTTTTATTGGTGGTACGCAGCATTACGAAAAATTTAGAAAGGGTACACAAAAATCATATGTTTGGGAATAATAATAGATAATAATAGATGCAGGCAAATTTGTTTTTTCGTTGTTGTATAAGATTTTTTAACAGATCTTAGATACTTTCGTATCGCTTATTTCTAATATGCAATTGGTTTCTCTCTCTTAGTTACAGTTCTTTTCCTTTAAAAATCACATTTGTGGTCAATTTTTTGTCGAACTGTACAAGTTTGAAGACGTTATATAAAAGAGGGTCCTATAAATATGGCGGCAAACTATTAGGGGAGTTAGAGCATAACATCAGGATAAAAATGGCATAAGAACCCATTCTCAGAAATGCCATCATACGTCGCTGGGGATGCTTTCCAATTATGAACTGTTTTTCAGTCTATTTCTGGGCATTGGAAAAGTTTTTTCGCTTGTGTAATAGTAGATACGATGCACTAGTAAACAAATCACGAAATTAAATTTCCTTTTTTAGATCGAAAAGAACGTGAAACGTTCTCCTTATCGGTAAATTTGTCAATTACACAATTATCTAATTTATTTCCAAGCTTCAAAATTTCTAAGTAATGGTAGGTTTATTGAATTGTTTTTTCATGGTTGATGATAAATAAAAACAAATTTCCCAGACATAAAATATTTTATGAAAAGTAAGATGTTTGCTTCTAGGAGTTTTTGTTTTTAAATTTAATTTTATTTTATTTTAGGTTGTATCGTTAAAGGTGCTTTCTCTCTCGAGCAAGGTTTCTCTGATGAGATTCTTAGCTTGACTGAAAAACTAGTGCCGGTGACTCGAAAACTTTGGCAAGCAACAAAGGTAAGAAAAAATACGTATTCAAATATTCGATGAATTATATAAGTTCAACTTCTTAGCCCGTGAATATTAATAAGATGAAGATCACATGGAGAATTTAGTGTGTGTCTCTAAACTTCTAATGAGAAAGAGGTACTTGTTTCCGTGCGAATAGGAAGACAAGGCTGTAGAATCAACTTCGACGAAAGTAGCAAGCAGGGATTTGAAATGTACTACAAAAATTAAGACAAAGGCTTTTTTTTAAAATTGAAAGTGGTAACAAGTACGTATGAGCCATTAGAAGTATGAGCCATTAGAAATATGAGCCATATGCACGTATAAGTCACTTCTAATAGTAATAGTTTCTTAGCAAGAAAACTAACGTTTTATTAAAAAAAGATAACTCTGTTTGACATATAAAATATAGCATAAATAACTGTATAAAGGTGCCATTTATAGCTGCCATAGATGTTAAAAGACAAATATTTAAAAGATATACTTTTAAAAGGCAAAAAACATATGGTTGCTGAACTCTAATTTTGCGTATAAAAGCATTTGGATACAATTTTAAGCGAAGCAAGAAAGAAGAACGCTTAACCATAGTCTTGAGAGTTCGCCGGTTGAAGATACCTTGTCGATTTTAAGTTTATAAGGGAATTTTAGTTTTGTTTCTTTTCTAAAAGTTTTGGCTCTGATCCAATCTCACAGAACGTCAGTTATATGTCTAACTCTCTAAGTTAGATACCGCAATTCCAGTTTCACGTGTCACAATTTATTTTTCAGGCTACCATGCTACCAACTCCAACTAAATTCCACTACGTTTTCAATCTAAGGGAGCTATCACGAATATGGCAAGGAATGACGTCCGCCTTACCGTCTGTTTTGGGTGATAAAGAAACGCTTCTTTCTTTGTGGAAGCATGAATGTTGTCGTGTCATAGCTGACAGGTAACAAGCAGTCTTTATATTATCTTAAATAATTTTGCGAGATCTTCTGTGTATGGAATGTTTTCAAAACACCATTCTCATTGTCCCTGGCCAAATTATTAGATTCACTGTAAAGGTCTGGTTTCTTAGGACAAGCGCCTTAAGGTCTGGTTTCTTAGGACAAGCGCCTTATCTGGGCGTCAGCGGAAAGTTGACGTAGAACTGACGCCAAAAAAATACTTTTTTGTTAGCTCAGCGTGAGCAGTCGGTCCAACGCAGACATTATCTCTCATTGCGCATGCGTTAATAACTTAAACAAATATTTATTTTGAATTTGTATTGATTTTGTTACTGTCGACCAGTGTCTTAGCATTGCAAATGCTTTTCGCTTAAGTCGCCAAACACAAACCGTTGCTAACACATTTTATTAATATTTTAACCTATTACCAGCAAAAAAAAAAAAAACTGTTCAGTGGGCTAGAAAACTACAATAAATCTATGAAAATTTTAGTTAAGTAAACACATAAAACTAATGAATGTAGTTTGTTTATTCAAAAAGCTCCTGGCTGCCTATGTGTCTGAGAGGTATTGTTCTCCCGCTAAATATTCAAAAGCGTATAGGTAGCGGGTACGTATTCCGACATAATCATATAGCTCTGTCTTTGTGTAGCCGCTTCTCTATTTTGTGCTATTTGTCCCTTAATTTGACAAGGTTTTATTAGCATAAGTGCAAAGGGTTCATGCAAATGTAATACCTTATCTTAATCGCAGGATGATTGTTGTTGTTGTTCATTTACGTCGCACTAGAGCTGCACAATGGGCTATTGGCGACGGTCTGGGAAACATCCCTGAGGATGATCCGAAGACATGCCATCGCAATTTTGATCCTCTGCAGAGGGGATGGCACCCCCGCTTCGGTAGCCCGACGACCTGCACGCGAAGTCGAGCACTTTACGGTAGAACAGATTAACGAGGACCCATACCGCACACCCTCGGTCCCTACGCAGGCTGATCCAAGTGGTCACCCACCCGCACACTGACCGTAGCCAGTGATGCTTGACTTCGGTGATCTGCTGGGAACCGTGTCTTAATGATCAGTCCACTGCGGGACAAAGGGCGTAACAAAGAAAAATGTAAGTTACATTTAGATTTACGAAAGGAATCGAACCCGCTATCTCTAAGCTTGATGGCTTTTGGTAGAAGGATGCTGTCTGGAAATATGCAGGATTGGAAATGAAACTGATATTTTATTACCTTTTACGCTTAAAAGAACAAAATTTTTTTAAAGAAAATAATTAAAATCACTGACGATGTTTATGAGTTCCCCTGCTGTTTCACCTAACTGTCATGGACATTACCGATTATTGTTGTATATGAGAATAAGTTTATTTCTACAGCTAACTGGTGAGTTTCCATTGCAATCTTAGTTTATTTTAAAATTCCTAGCATGCGGGGAGTGAGGAGAAAAATCCATTGCATCATATTAGCTTGGTGATAAAGTAAAGTAAAATTACAAAGCGACGAATATGGTACGGGGATTAGACGACAAGGTAGATGACTAAACTTATATAAACATTCAACCTACCTCTCATTCAAATATGATAGACTCCAAGTGTACTTTTTACTTACACATTGGATTATTGATTGGATTGAGGTGTGAAGTTACATACAATTGTAATACATAAACTTAAGAATAGACTTTGGATATTTAAATAACTCAATAATAGAAAAAAAATTAGCTTTTCGGAATGGTAAAAACTCGATCAAAATAATAAATTATAATCACGGAAAGCTGTAAATACAATAAGATCCGGGACAAAATATCAAAACAAGTTAAAAACATGAAACTCATTTATTTACAATGTAATTCGTTTATGCAAAAAACTGAACTAAAAAAGAAAAGCTGCTTAAAAAATATATATTCATTATTTATTAAAAATATGTATGAATAACTGATTTCTCTCCCAGATCCCAGTCAAATTTTGGGATAGGCGTAAGTATAAAGTCACACAAAAACTATTTCTAAACTTATGTATTTTTTTGCTCGTGAATGAAATTCTTCGATTAGCAATCAACTATTCAAATTGTCTTTATCTTTGAGATTGCTAAATTTAAATTTTAATTTTNATATATGTATTGGGTTTTTATTCAGGAGATTTTTTATATACTTCTTATTTGTATTTATTTTTAACGTATTGCATTACAATGTTGACCAATTAATACGCGAACGTAAACAAATGCAAACCGGTTTCTCGTAAAGACAATAAAGCTGTCTAGTATCACTTGAGAAATTAGATTTTACATAGAATCTTATAGTGCGTTTAATAATTTGCCCAGGGACTGTATATCTTTTGATTCCATAACAAATAAGGAAAGTAATCCAATCACCTAACTACTAAAACTAATTACTATATTACATTTAACATATGATTAAAATTATTATAATTACGCATAATCACTTCTAATACATTGTGAAGTTTAATTAATTAATTTATAATTGCTTTATTTTTATGTACAACTTGGCAACTAAGTATATAAATCTAAATTGTGACTTCTTTGCTATGTTTTGCTTTACATTTTGTGCAATTTTGGAGAAACTTTATAATAAAGAAATTCCCATATTAAACTCAAATATTAACTCTCAATTAATAATATAGATTTATACAACAGCAAGATTACGATTGGTTTGAAGACACATTAGCCCAACTGTTATCAGATGAACTTGGCGAGAGTATTTCTTATTCCAAAGAAGATATTTGCTTTTTTGTGGATTTTCTCAGGTAAAAGCAAAACTTATAGATTTACTTTTGTAAAAGTACTATCTTAATTTATAAATACGAGATTTGTGAAGATATTTATGTTAAACCGTTACTTTACATGCACTCATAAGAGATACTCCAGAAGTTACAGGAGAGGATGAAGCAGAAGTAGAAATGCCTAAAATTTATGAACCTGTAAGCGATTTATTGCAACTACTTTACTGACTAATTCCACTTTAATAAATTGGTAGATAAAATATTAAATAAATGATCCAAGTGAAGAAATGGTTGACTTTGTGATATATGGGAATTAAATCAAACAACTTTTAAGCAGCACAAATAATGCAGCATAAACAGACATGTTATAATTTTGGTTCGATAATGTTTGGATAGTAGTCTATAAGGTTCTTCAGGGTCGAAACACAGAATTAAAGTGAGAAACAATGGTATGCAGAAAACAAGTTAAAACTCGAAGAAGGAAGAGGATAAAAACATAATATATATATGTTCCTTTTCTCTTATTTTGTTTATGAATCCTGTTCAAGCTAATTCACCATAACTTTTTGATCAACACCTTTGTGGTTCTTAGTGCTTGTCATTTTCATCCTGTGTTCTGAGCGGTTATAGACCACTATCAAACAGTTAGAGAACTAGAACTATGATATATGACTTTATATGTAGTCTTTTACCTTTGTACTTTTTCACATTGTTTAGTTTTATTCAAATAACTTGTAATTGATTAAAAGTAAACTTAATAAATTCAAAACAACTGCACCTGCATTCTATATTTTATAATTTAACATTCGGAAGACCCCTATGTGGTGTACTTTTTTATTAAAAAATAGTTTAGATCATTATCGATTGGACCTTCTCTATTACCGTTAGTAATTGACAGCAGGTTCTTCTTGTTGATTTTTTAGTATATGAACTTCGTAAATTACCATCTTGAGCGTAAGTTAATTCACATTGAAACGAATTTCCTGAACAAAAAAGTGTACTCTTCTTCTAAGTTTTGAACTTTACGTCTAATTTTCAAGGGCTTCATAGATATCAGTGAGACGTTAATAATGTTTTAATTTTTTATGATAACATTTAAAACTGTATCCAATCGGCATTATTTAGCAATATTTTTAATGATTGTATACTTTTTTTTACAACAGGATACATATTACATGCAGATTACAGGATACATATTTACATACTGATTTCGATGAGCTAGTCCCATTTCCTTCGAATGTATTTGTAACTGAACCATGGAAACATTATTCAAGCCAACATTTTTAGAGTTGTATAAAAAAACAATTCTATTTGGTTTAGCATCGAAATGATCATTAAAACTGAATTAGTCGAATTTATTCGTCAATGATCAATATATTCAAATAAAAATCTCGAAGTTTTAGAAGTCGATCAAAAAATTGGAATAATTATGCCTGCACTCCTAAGCCACACAGGCTCATAATACTAGTAAACATTTTATTGACTTGTATTAAGGTGATTCTTTATTTAAAAAAATATTCTTATTCATGGAAACTCTCTGGCCTTCTAAAAGTCATTAGTTTCCTTTAATGGGCCGATTGCACTTATTTTTCCAAATATTTAAGGAACATTTTTTACAACTGTAAAAAAGGTAATCCAATGATAGAAACCTTCTACGATATCTTTTTTCTCGCTTTTGAATAAAAAAGATGCGAGAAATTTTTTGAAGAATTTCGATTTTTAATTTTTTTTTAAATTACCAGGATCCTAGAAATAACGTCAAAAATTATAGTTTATACTGCAACGCAAACCAGCAGAAGATCATAGTGGTTTGAAAATGGAAATAGAACATTTGAATATGAATTTGGAAAATAAATTTAATGCATGCCACTTTTAAATTATAAGTCATACTTTTTAATTGTTTCTTTTTAAATTCATAATACACACAAGTGTAAAATTTAATAAAGCATGTAATTGCAGTGCAAACAAAGCTAAAACTGTAAACATATTTCCATAAACACTGGGTAATAAACTTTATATTGCATTTATGCAAATATTTGATCTCGTGGTGGTTCGGATGTGGGATTTTCAAATACAGTTCTTCAAATACCTAAAGCAATAGATTTTTTTTTCAAAATGCAATATTTTTCATCCATTTTTTGCCGATATGTTCGGGTTTAAAAATGTTATATATAACAAGGGGGTTGCACAAATGTTACGACAAACTTCTAGGGCACATCATCAAGGCTGAAACTGCATAGAAATGTCATTGCACGTGGCTAGGGATGCTTCTCTAATATGATCTGTTCAGAAGCACAGGAATAAACAGTTTATTATCGGGAAGCTGTGTAATATGGAATTTCGAGCATGGGTTCCTGTGCACTTTTAATCCTTATATCAACATTTATGCAACCCCTTGTTATTTATAACATTTTCATACTCGTAGATTAGGGCACATCAACATATTTACAATTTCATACTTGTTCATTTCGACAAGAAAAGGACTAAAAATGTCGTTTAAAAAACTGTAGCTTGGAGAGAGAAACAGATTTTCAGATTTGAAATCAGAGATACGAAAGTGCCTAAGATTTTTGTTAAAAGATCTCATGCAATAGTAAAAAAAAGAATAGAAAAATTGTTTCCCATCGTAATGAACCATGGGCAAAATAACAATTTCTGGTAAATAAAAATTCGAGCAATCAATAAAATTAATTTTAATATTAATTTTTATTTTAAAAAAACTTACTTTGCCGGAAAAAGTATACATTTTAAGTAAATTGTGATTTCTGCAATTATGTAGGTGCGATCATTGGACGTTCTTCAAGACAGATTGACCTTCCTCCTAAGTTTATACAACGAAGTAGCCAGAACGGCTCATATGGATATAGTTTTCTTTAAAGACGCCGTTTCCCATTTAACAAGGGTATTTATTTTCTACTTTGTTCTATTATTGGAGGAGAAATTCAAATTCAAATGCCATGTTTCATTTTTTTTTACTTCCATCATCTTCTAGTACAAGCGCGTTGAACCATCATATAGCAGTACGTATGTGCCACAACCTTATTGTGGTTCCAAGTTCAATCATATTATTGTGAAAATTAATCCTTCTCAAACTTGACTTTTTGATATTATGGCTCAACTTAAAAGCATAATACAATTCAAAACCTTATCAAGATTGCAGCAAATTTGCACTGTAATATGGTAGCTCAATGTTGGATCAATTTTTCTGTGAGTGAAAGGTATTATAAACTTTTATTATAGATTTTTTTCTTCACCGATAATAATTAGGAGCTCATTTTGTATTGGAAGTGTACTAATAGAAGTGCAAATTGTGTCATAATTTACAAAAAAAAAATAATAAAAAAAATTATTTCTAATTTGCAAGCCTATAATATTTTGGAACAAATTATAAAAATAGCGTCTAACCTGGAGGACACATTCATAAACCATCCATCCACAGATCGTAGTTTTGACCTGAATCAGAGCATGATCGATCAGCGATTTCGTACCCCAGAGGTACAGATTTAACGTGCATCAGTCACCATTTTTTACTCGGGACAATATCTAAGACAGTAATGTATTCGTTTAGTAAGCAATATTTTACCGTAAACAAACTTTTAAGTGGCTCAAAGTAAAAATCAAATTAATATTTTACGAAGAAAAAAAAATTAGGATATTTTGGGTATTTTTAAGAAGGTGAAACCAGGATCGGAAAAAAATATTGCATCCACTGCTTTGAAGATTTATTTCTTGTGGCTTATGTCTTTTACTGTTCGCAACGTTAAAAAAAACTCGGGCAATGTTTTAAATGAAGTTTATCAGAGGCAATTTTGGTCAAAAATGGTGTGAGTTTGGTCATGCGCACATACAAGGAAAAATCTCGGAACCTGAATTTTCTTGGTTTCAGAAATAAATTCCTAGATATAGTAAAATAAATTTAAAAGTGAATTGTTAATTATCTATATTTTCGAGCAATAATAATTTACTTTATAGCTAAATTAACACTTTCACTTAAATGTCCCTTAAATTTTCTCTTTTTATTCAAAAGTCACTTAAAACCTGCTTCCAATAAGCTCTCCGATTCATAAAAATATTTCGATTTTCACTCAAAATCATATATTGTTAAGAACGTTTCATTTCTCACTCAAATGTAAATTCTTTAAATAAGCTTTCCAATTGTTAGGAACTTTTCCATTTTCTCTCAAAAGTTACTTAGTAACATTTCCCAATAAACTTTTCAATTGTTAAGAACATTTCTTTTTTCACTCAAATGTCATTTATATTCTTTGAACAATGAATTCCTCAAATGTTAAATGCATTTCTTTTTTCACTCAAATGCCACTTATATTTTTTTAAACAAAAAAGTTCTTCAATTGTTAAGAACAATTCGTCTTTCTTTTGAATGTCACTTAGTACCTTCTTCCAATAAGCTTTTCAATTGCTAAAAACTCTTCATTTTTTACTCAAATGTCACTTAGCACATTCACCCAAAAAGATTTTCAATTTTTAGGAACTTTCCTTAAATTTAAGGATAAAATTAAAAAATTACCTTTAACAAATAATCGCATAAAAAGTTCAAACTGAAAAAGGAAAAAAAAAACATTGTTCTTTAAATCTTTTTTTATTAATAAATTTTTAAAAAAAATACCCAATTCATTAGAAATCTCTAAACACACATTAATTAATTAAATGTCACTTAAATTCTCCTTACCTGCTACAATACTTTGTTAAAGACGAATCACATTAACCTCTATCAATGTCCTCAACAATTGATTGAACTTTAATTAATTTAGATATCCAGGATAATTCGAGCTCCAGGGGGTCACGCTCTTCTCGTCGGCGTGGGAGGATCTGGAAAACAGTCTTTAACGAAACTAGCAGCTTTCATTGCTCACTACAATACTCAACAAATTAGTTTGACCAGGTAATTCTCTTTAAAGTTTCGAATCAATTGCAAAATTTTCATTACACAAAATCGGAAATTGGGTGGGAAAGAAGTCCAAGTTTGGAAATAAACTAGACGAGAAGTTATCAAATTTTAATTAATATTATTGAGGGCCAGCTTCATTTGTACGCATTATAGAAATCCAAATAAAGCAGTTTCAAATGTTTTATAAGAATTATATACTGCTTATTTCTAAATCAGTCACTTATACTATAGTTATATTCGTAAATAACATAGATATAGAAACAGGTGAATTTATTATACTTAGAGAAAATTTATTTTCTCTTTAAAACACCTCACCACAGAAGCACCACAGAATAAAATTCCCTTAAAAATTTAAGTTAATTAATTCGAACAAGCACGTGAGTGAAACTGTCAAAAAACTTCAAGTACACAATTTTAACAACTAGGGAAGGCTGTATATTATTAGATGAATATACAAATCCAGTTATTCTTCTTCATCCACTTGTCACCTATTTACATATTTTTACAGTGTTCAAAGTATTATTTAGAAACGATAATACTTGAAATAAAACTGTTGATTGAATGTTTAAGTACATAAAAGTCTTAGATTCCTACCGAAATCATATGTGTTTTTGTATTAAAAACCAAGGCGGGGCTACATCTTTTTGTGCGCTATTGCATCATAGTTGTTTTAGTTTGAATAGAACCGAAAGTTTCAAACACAATTCAATTTATCCTCAGTGGTTAGAATCAAGGGTTAGAATCTCCTTGCCATCGGGCTGACCGTGTGATTATCTCGTGGTTTTCCTCTCCCTGTAACTCAAATGCGCATTGGTTTAATCAAAAAGTTCTGCATGAAAGTAAATATCGATTCAGGAGTCTTTTGTATTGTGTTCAAAATTAGTTATGTTAAAAGAGCATGATCGTACGCAGCTCACGATATAGTCACAAGGTTTGAAACAGTGGTCTTAGAATTGAATAAAAAAATATGTTAATCGGATTATGGTTTCTATTACAGAAATGCACATAGGAGATAATATATACTCTGCAAAGCATGTCTGAGATACTCTGCGTAGATCAGTTGTAACTCATCACATCTCCCCTATTGCTATCCAGAGTCTGCAAATAGCGATGTTGGCCAATTCTTGCCATTTTCATACTTCCGTGTTATTTCCTACGTGAAATTAAAATTTGAGATTTTTTTATCCATAAGAAGAAACCAAGTCTCATATAAAACCAATTTTTTATTTGACCATCGAATTTGTTGTTCCATCTTTAACCATTGTTTCCTACCTTCCGACTTTAATAAGTTTAGGATCATGCGAGTTTATAACAATTACAAAACAGCTGTGCTTTTTCTATATGATACCAACCCATGCTCAAGCCAACTTCAATTTAAGTCAGACCAATAATTTGGAAGATAATTTTAAAAATCTGAAAAATTCTTCTTATTATGAATGCAAGAATTTTTGAAAGTTTTCGAGAGTTTTTAACAGTTTTATTTTGTTTCAATATAAACTTTGTTTTTCTGCAGGAGCTACGGTGCGTCGAATTTCTTAGAAGATTTAAAACTCCTTTATAGAGCTACGGGAGTTCACGATAAAGGCACTACTTTTATATTTACTGACCAAGCATTAAAAGATGAGTGTTTTCTAGAATATTTGAACAACGTATTAACTTGTGGAGTGGTAAGAAATTTAATTACCTTATTTTTTTCCTTGTATTGTATAAATTAATTGCATAAAATACTTTATATTGGAATAAATAAATTAACGCTCAGTTCGAATCAATATTTTTTGAAAATCAGTTCAAAGTAATAATTATTTTTTTTTTTACATATTCTTGAGAAGTATAAAATTTAAAAATAAAATAATTAATGTATGCTCTAGCTTTTATTAATTAATATCTTTTATTATGTGCCTTTTCAAAACGCTCTATGGCAACTTTTGGAAAGGAATATTCATACATTTATTTAATCTGAAAGGCAAGCAAGTTATAGTAATAAATGCAATAAAACACAAGTGAGAAAATCAATTAATCGGCAGATTTATCAGAGCAATGTTAGTTTATTCATTAACTAGGTGATCTTCCCATGATAATCCTAATCGCTAATTGAAGTGTAATGATTTATTTAATGTGTCACAATAAACAGACATAAATATAGATATTTGGATAAACATTGAGTTAAAAAAAAATAATTTAAAATTTTTTTGTACGTTAATTTTAAATTCGAGCCCAAGTATTTTGACCAAGGTATAAATTTAAGGTGATTGTGATCCTTATAATTTTTGACTTACCTCAGAACATGAAAGAAATCCAAGTAATAGAACAAATTCTTCTTCTAGAAAAGCCTTTTTCTTCGAGAACCTTCTTCTTCTAGAAACTTACCAGCATTCGTACGGTATCCAAGTCATTCAATCCACGCTAATGACACCTGATTTCCTAATGAATGGAAAAAACTCGGAAATATCGTATTATATATTTCATTTACCCACTTTATCTAGACAAGGTCATACATTGAACATTGATCTGCATTAGGTATTCGCGTCTATTAAAAGGTGTTCCTATTAGGTTTAAGATTTTATTATGAACTTAGGTGTCCAACTTGTTTAACCGAGATGAGAAAGCTGAAATTATTGGTGTTCCTATTAAGTTTAAGATTTTATTATGAATTTAGGTGTCCAACTTGTTTAACCGAGATGAGAAAGCTGATATTATTGGAGAATTAACTCCTATCATGAAAAGAGAGAGACCGCGATGTCCACCTACTCCGGAGAATGTCATGGATTATTTTCTTTACAGAACTCGGAAGAATTTGCATGTAGTACTCTGTTTCTCACCTGTAAGTATTCATGTAATCAACATTTTAGATTCAATAAGACTTTACCATATGATTAAAATAGAATTTTTGGCACCTTGTCAAGTGTTTGACCAAAAATTTTGTCTTTTTAATTTCGAGACAAATGTCTCATCAATAGGTTCGCTCAGAAATTAGTCAGGGCACCAAAATTTGTATTTTCAAATCGTTTAATGAAAAACTGCAAGGAGAATATGTTAAAATCAATTGAAAGATCAGTTAAAAACTTAATTTGGTAATAATTTCTCTTCCATTGTTTTGTTCAGGAACTTTTAAAAGTTAAAGGTAACTTTTTTCGAAAAATGGCAAAATTGTCTTGGCTCTCGATCTCAATTAGGAGACAAGTGTTTTCTCTATTGCTACATTCGGGAATCACTGAGGGCTTCAAAAAGTTTAATTTTTAATAATTTATAAATAGAGAAAATGACAAAATACACCAAAGAGCAAATAAAAACGAGAAAAGATAACACTAAAATTAGTAGCAGGAGCAGTTAAATACTTAAGCAGGATTCTATTGCTCTATTTTACGCTCAAGATCTATTGCTAAAAGTTTTTTTTTTTTTTAATATAACAGAAATGCCTCTTAATAAGGATATCTTCGTTTAGGAGTTTGTCAGGGTGCCCAAAAAAATTATTTTAAAATCATATGGTAATCTTGAAAACATTAGAGTAAAGAGGAAATACAAAAGAGATTGAAGGAAACATAAAGCAACGGAGGAAACTTCTATGGAACCTCAACTTCAAGACATTTGTCTCTTCGATTGTATCTTTCAAAAACCAATGGAAGTTAAAAAATAATTTTTAAAATATCTAGCATAAAATGTCGAAGGTTTCATTTTTAAACTGACGTATAAATAACAAAATTTCTAAATGTGGTCAGAGACTGTGGCTAAAGACTGATTGTTTTAACAGAATTTGTCAAAACATTCATACCGCCCAGGTTCGGTATGATTGTTTTGACAAATCCAACAATTTGATTTCAATAATACGTTTAGGTTAACTGCAGCTAAAACAGAAATAAGTTTTCTATATTTATCAAACATTTGGAAAAATGGTGATATGTCTAAATAAACTATTTTTTCTTACATAAGTAGGTAGTGAGCTAGAGAAAGAGAAATTCTTATAATTTTTTTCACTTTTATTAGATGCAGTAAACTCTTTAATGTTTATTTTGCATTAAAAATTTAATCAAGTGTATAAAAGTATATAACTTTTTATACATTTTTTTTAAAATTATAAATATTATATTTCTTATTAAAATAAAAAAAAAGTATAATTTTGAGGTTCAGAAAAATAAAAATTTAGGTTTCAAATTTCAAAATTAGGTCAAAAATTTAGGTTTCAAATTAGGTTCAAATTTTTACAAACATACGCTTTCTCAAAAGATTGCAAATCGCAATTTATCTGTATATATAGAATGGAAATATGAGTAAACCATAATGAGATATTTTCTTTTGCATTCATTTAAAATAATATAATCTATCGAAATTATTTTTGTTAATCATTTTAGTAATTCTGTGATATATAGTATTATAAAAATATTGAACCTGCTCCCCCTTCACAATTACTACAAAGTGAGTGAGACGGATAAAAAAAAATTATATAAATTTAGAACAGTTGACTGCTTTGTCGTCATTTGACATATATGTAATATGATCATATTTGATTGATCAAAGACAAATTTCACTAAATCATTTACACTAATGATACATCAAATAAGACGATTCCCTCGTTATGAAATCTGTCAGATTTTTATACAGATTACACTGGGTTCAGTTCCCATAAGTTGATGATTGAAGGTTAAAAATAGCATTTTCCTTTGAACTCCTGAGTTAAAAATAGGATTTACGTAGAAACTCGTTAAAGTATATGATAGGGTAAATTTACGATACATTCGCATATTTTTTTCTCAGCCGAAATAAAAGTATTAAAAATAGAAATACAAGAAATATTTATGCTTTTTTATAATTCTCTTGCATGCAATCAACATATTTTGAGCAAAAAGAAATGGAATATTAAAAACAAAATTTGAAAGAAAAAAAAACTTCACAAGTAGCCATCTTTACTCAATGTCCAAGTGAATTGGCTATCCAATACAGTAAAGGGAAAGCAATGTTAAAATATTGAAAATGGCAAATTTTATGCAATTAACTATAAAGAATATAATTTTAAAAAAATCTAAAATATAGAATTAATTAATCATTTTTGGAAAACCTTTATCACATTTTGGCAACAAATTTTGAAATTTGCACTACTATACTTTGAGCTACTACATGCACCTTAGTAATCTTATCCAGCCATCAGTTTTATGTTGTGGTATTGGTATATTTAGTGATATGACTATTTTTAGGTCGTGCTTCTTCATGGCTAAAGCTCTGAGTCTGTAGAACTGAGTAATATGTAGAGATCTATCGTGTTGGTTATAGGGTTCAAACGGATAATATGTTAGGTCTGTAGGATCTAAATGTAATATGCAGAGTTTGTATGGGACTTAAAAAATTTAAAAAAGTGTTTTCAATATTTTAATGAAAAAGTTGAGGTTTCTTTTTTATTAGCTTTCATTTTAAAATTAAGAAACCTAACGAAACCAAACCAAACGGAAACCATTAAAGATAGATTGATGCTTGATTTAATGATTTCGGAACTAGATTTATTCATTTGAAAATATTAAGCTTGATGGTGAATACAAATTTACCAAAATACATTTTATTTTATTTTTTTCAAATCATTTTTTAAAATTTTAAGCATCTCACCATTCCTAATATGTCTATGCGCTATCACTCCTCGATTTTATGTGGTTGTCATCTCTTCTAAAGCTGCCAAATTTATAGCGTCACTCCGCTAATTATATTTGGACAGCCATTATACTGGAACAAAGATTGGACAGCTTAAGAGCCTCAAATGTCCTGCAAGTGGGAGAAAAGTTTAACTTTCACACTAAAAAACAAGAAAATACGTAATTCACCAAAATATATCTAAGTCCAATTTTACATACTTATTGCTATCACAAAAAGCAACTCTTTGTTCGAATTGATAAAAAAGTTAAACTGCTTTAGGCGAAACTGCATCTGCTGCATATGTTAAGAAGTATAGGAGATCTTTAAATTGGCCAATTCTCTTCTATGTCCCTCTAACATCTACTTACTCTAAAAGAAAAAAGAAATACATTACTCATAAGAAAGTTTCACTCATAAAATATAAGCGATGGCATTAGTATCCTTTTATACAGATAATTATTGGAAATAAAATTATGTTTTTCTTATGTGCTTCATAACTGGGATAGTTACAAATGTATCAATTCATTTTTTATTTTTACTTTAAACACAGGTTGGTGAGAAATTGCGTGCACACGCTCTAAGATTTCCAGGCATCGTAACGGGTTGTACGGTAGACTGGTTCCAACCGTGGCCCAAAGAAGCATTAATATCTGTGTCCAAGCATTTTCTTCGAGACTTTGATCTTCAGTGTGAAGCTCCTGTAAAAACTGAAGTCATTCGCACCATGGGAGATATTCACGACCTAGTAGCTGAACAATGTGCTGAATACTATCAAAAGTAAGTGAAGTATAATGTTTTGGCTGTAAAATTTCTTACGATAATATTTAAAAAGTATATGTGATGGGACGTGCAAAAATATTTAATCCAATATAATTATCTCGTTAATTTTTATTTATTTATTTGATTCATTTATTTATTTATTTTTCTTAATCCAAGAGTGTTTTCAAGAAGTCCTCGACCAGAGAGTTAATTACGTAAAACCTCCGAATAATGTTTCTTTGCAGGACTGCGATGTGACTGGTGTAAAGATTTGTGTTATTCAAAAGAGCGAGTGTTATTCAGAATTATGAATGAATTGATTGTTTGAAGATTGATTGATTGTATGAATGAATTGATTGATTTAATGGACTAAAATTTTGGTACAATAATGATTACTTTCTACTTTAAATATCATTAATTTGCATTTTCCGACTAATTTGTGTTTTCCGACTTGCGTTGCTAATTTGCGCACGCTTATTCTTTTTTTTTAAATTCTCAACAACTTTGATTATATATTTCAATGTAAGGAATTTTTGCTTATGATCATTATTCATTTGCTAAAGTTTTCCTCCATCGCTATCAGTGTTTGGAAGTTAAAGACAGACAAAATGAAATTGGTCAACAAATATTGGACAGGCGCATCCACAAATTTTGCGCATATACGCCAGTAATTTTTCCGAATTGCATAAAATGAAGGCAAACCAGTGACGCATCAGGTATCGCTGCTCATTTCAAATATCGGAGTCAGATTCATGCGATTCATTAAGAACACCTATGAAAGATACAGACTATTTGTAGCAGATGGAATTGACTGTTGAATTGAAATAAATCAAACACAATCCAGTCACATTCATGTTACCACCTGTCAAAAGAAAGAATAACCACCTTACGCAGAGCTGACCGTGGCGAGACGTGCAGGGAGATTGTCAATTAAGCTCTTGAAGGTGTTTACTAAGATATTGAACTATACCAACTTTAATGCCGTGGCTAGCTGAGCTAGGTTACGTGTTTGATCCATGGCATGAACAAACCGATCTAAGTGGTCCCACAAATCTAGATTGAATTTCAGTCCGAGAAGCGTTGTTGTTAATTAATTCTCGGCATCTGTGTAGATAAGTTTGCTTTAGAATGTTAACTCTCTAACCTTCTTTGGTAACTAAACTAGCCTTATTTATTGGACTTTAAAGTTGTAAAAATTATTCTTAGTTCAGAACGTTTATCAAAGATTCATACCCTAACAAACAGTAAGGATTTACTCTAATAGTAGTACTCTTCTGTTTTGTTGCGATAACCTTTGCTTTCGGAATAAAGTTCCCGGGTATTGTCCGGTCTTGCTCTAATTCTCCCACCTTGATGTTTGTCTATGTTGGGCCCGCAAAAGCTGCAGTTTAGCGGAAGAAGATACATCCAAGGCTAAAAAGGGCTTTGCACAAAGCAGAAAGCAAAAAAAAGCCTTATTTTCATATTTTGTAGAATTGTGGAGGCTCTTGTTTGAATTGTAGTTTTTCTATAGATAAAGAAATTCTCTGCAATTTTCTTTTATAAAAAAATAATAAGCACTATATTTCTTGCAAGGAATTATTATTTCTATATTTCCCGTGGAGTTCAAACGTGTACTCAGCCGTACACTACTAGTGGGGACCTGGTGATTTGTTTTATTTTAGAAAAAAAAGTCATCTATAAAAAAATAAAGCACGCCTATGACTTTATGTGGATAATATATTGTACACAGCTGAACAATGAATATTTTGATTAAATTTGACAGTTTTTTTGGCAGAACACTTAAGCTCCAACAGGTAACTGCAACTCGGTCTTATCCCACTTTTCCCAAATAATATTTATTTGTAGAAGTAGTTCAATATAATATATAATTATAATTACTATTGTAACCGTAAATATCTCAGTTACGAATAAAATTTTAATCACCAATTATGATTACTTTTGTCAAATTACATTTTGATCACCTTTGTAATATGGTATAATATAATGCTCGCTCACTGTTGCCACTGATAAAAATGTAAGGCTTTTCAAACGGTGTATCATGATGTTTTTTTAAGTGTGAGAAAAAAAATAAAAATCATTGCTTTAACGTTTCAGATAAACTAATGAGAAAATATTTTCCTTTATTTTTAAACTTATTACTATCGAGTAAATATTCTATAGTAATAGTTATTAACTCTGTTATAGTAAATAGTGCTCTGTTCTGTTTAATAGTAAAAATAATTTTTTCTTATTATTATTTTGTAACTTAATACTGCTAAAATAAAAAACGAAAAAAAAATGAAGCTATTTTTGTTTTTAATAAGTTTAAATTGTGAAATTTTACTATATAGGGTGTCCCACAACTCATAGTATATACGTTAGGAGGTGATAGACCACTAGACAAGCACAAATCACCATAACTAAACCATGGTCGGAACTCAAGTATTAACGCGCTATCGGGTCCTTCAGCTGTTTAATACAGCTGTCATTGAGTTTTATCGCAATACTTTCACAATCTTTAATGCTTAGTGCCGGTATCGTGTCTCAATTTAATTTTCTATGATTTTGAAATCATATGATGTTTGTAAAATATTTCAGTGTTTCGTGCAATATCTCGATAATTACAACAAAGTAATAAAAATAAATAAAATAAATTCCAAAAATGCTGTAACTTACCCCAAAAAACTATCAATTAATTGTTTAAAATTCTTTTCATTCTGCTAGACCAGTTTCTTACGTTCAAAGCATTTTTAGAATAAATACACTTAATACAAATATAATTTAAAAGCTCTTATTATAAAATAATACAACATCTATTGAACACACAGAACCTGTAGTTAATTTCTTTTGACTGATTTAAAAGGATTAAATTCGCTGTCAATTATTTTATTTTCTATTTCGAGTGTATTACTATTTGTCAAAGCTTGAATTAACGTTGCTGCATTTTTCATTTCATAATTAACTTTTACATTTTTTTATACTTTTGGTGATAAAGTATTCATAATTTTATATACTTTTAATACTTTTCCTTTTATAATTTTTTATACTTTTCCTTCTGTGATAAGAGTTTTATAATTTCATAACCGTTGCTGAACAGTCGACCCAATTTAGGGTTTACGGCTACTAACTTTCAACTCCGCAGCCTTGTAATTTTGAACCCAATCCAGAAGACAAGGGCACTCCTGGATCAAGTATTAGGAGAAATTTGCCTTCATAGAGGACTTTTTGATGCAACTAGTCAGCATTTGCGCTACATGGAGAGGAAAACCGCGAAAACCTTCTGCTGTTAGTCTGATTGCGAAGGGATTCTGGCCTATGATCTACCTACACTGAGAATGCTTTGCATTAGCACTGTGGTCAGTGCGAGCCGGGTGCGGAATTCAAATTGTCCAGCTATCGCTGGGATTGAGCCCGGGTCATCTTATTAGGAGGCGCCCTCTCTTTCCTCTGAGGCAACACGGCTTTGTGTTTAAAAAATATTAATACCCGTAAATATTTTGAAAAAATAGCTGAATTGCAGTAAATGATTTTTGTAAGTTTTATTTCGTTGTTAGATTTCGTCGTCCAGCTCACGTGACGCCCAAGTCATTCTTATCTTTCATCAATGGTTATAAAAAACTGTACGAAGAGAAACATAAAGAGATTGGTAACACTTGTACTCGAATGGAGAACGGAATATCAAAATTAGAAGAAGCTTCTATGCTCGTAGAAAGAATGAAGGAGACATTAGCTGTTATGGATGAAGAGTTAGAACAAGCCTCTAAGACTGCCGAACAAGTATGTCATTTGGAAATGTATTCATAGCTCAAAGGAAATAGAAAAATTAAAATTTAATAAATAAATAACGAATAAAAAATCCTCGTTTCTATTCTCCAAAACATTATTATTTGATAACTATTATTTACTTCTCTCTTCTTTTATTGAATTTTCATATAGTGCAATTTTATGTTTTGTAATGCAATAAAGAATTTGTGTGAGGCAAGTAAATATAGTTTAATGTCAAAATATTTAGTTAGTTTATCAATTGAAATTATGTTCTCAGTTGGCTAAGTTTCGATTGCGTTAAAAAGATCTATTGACAATATTTAAAACAGATTGTTGAGTAAAGGAGACTTTTTTTTTTTAATGACAACAAAAATATTTAAGTATTAAATATATTAAGTATTAAATAATAAAGTATTAAATAGAAATATAAATGTAATAGATTTGTTATTTTAATAGTAGCGTTATTATGAATTTTAATTCAAGATTGGCTTATTAGTTAATAGAGCTGAGTAATTCTTTTTTAAATATGTGATAAAAATTTGAATTTCACCAATTATCATAACTATGCAAAATTTATTCTTATTTTAATTAAAACATATAATCTGTTATCAGATTTATTAATTCAATTATCAAACAAAAGATGTTACTTCAGATTCCGTATAATTATTAAATTTTGATAACAAAAGTACCGTAAACGAAAGGAATTTCGCCCTAATGTATAATATATTTAAAATTTGATGAACAAAAAAAAGTCCTTTTTATTTTTAAACAGAAATTCATAAATAAAAATATTAATTTCATATATGACCTGTTATCAGACTATCAATTTAATTATCAAAAAATTGTTATTTCAAATGCTATATAATAAGGCAATTTTGATAACAAAAGAACCATAAACGAAGGATAACTTGCCTTAATGAGCATTTAAAATTTGATGAACTTGAAAAATGCTATGTTTATATTAGTAAATTTTTGGTTCTGAGCATCATAAACGCAATCTTTGCATGATATATTAAAGTGTTAGTTTTTACATAAAGTAAAACATTTTTAAATTCATGAACTCAACTTTTAATTTCGTCTACAGGTGCTAGCTGAAGTGTCAGTTAGAGCAGAGGCTGCAGAAGTTGCTCGTGATAGTGTAGAGAAAGCCAAATACGCTGCTCAAGAAATAGTAAAAGAAATACAAGTGGATAAAGCTATAGCTGAAGAGAAATTAGAAGCTGCTAGACCTGCTTTAGAAGATGCAGAAGCAGCCTTAAACACTATACAGCCTACACATATTGGTAAGAAAGATTAAATTCTCCAAGATATGATAATAAAATTCCTCATCCTCATTTTAACAAAAAGAAACTATTCTTAAGGGAAATTAAATGCTGTATCGTGTTTTGTCGATATGTGTTTATCGTGTTTTGCGACAAGATTTGTCGATTTTTTTTTAAGGTTCTTAGCAGTTTTACATTTTGAGTATTTTTATAGGTTTCAATTTTAAATACGTAATAAAGAGCAGTCATGCAATTTTAAGTATGTTGAAACTTTTTTTGTGAACTTATACAGCACGCTAAATGTCCTTAAAAAATTTCTACACAGACAATATTAGTCAAAAACTTTGTCAAAAGAAGGCGCTGCTAACAAACAATTGTTAAGGAAAGTTTCAAAATAACCACTATTCGCACCAACAACGTGGCATTTTTTGGGAACAGAATTAGCAGACGCATATTGTTAATAATTATATATAATATTTTTTTTGCATATGTAAAATTTTTTACGTTTTTATAGCTTGATGCGGAAATATATGAGCGCAAGTATTCTTATTTATTGAAATGATTTGAAATGCAGCGGAAACATTGTTCTAATATAGTTTCGATTTGTAATGATTTGAAACTTGGTTAATAAAGTTTCTGATTTCCTAAACAGAACGGAATATCTTGTACATTTCTTTTCCCATTTTTTTATCAGTTTATTTTCATATCGTTGGTTATATTTAGAATGCAGGATCAGCTTTACTTTTTTTTCCCAGCAAACTTTGTATAGCATTTATTTTTCTTTATGATTGATTCAGTAAGTACTTTTTAAGGGGTAATGGGTACATGACTGTAACCACTGGAGTAGAACTCGATCATTTGTTCTACTGTAGTTTTTCTATAACCAAACAAATATTAAGTTAGTCGTGTTTTCTTCGACTTAGTAATCTGTCTCATGTCGGCCCAAAATATTATAAAATTTTACCTACCAAAATTAATTAAATTGATTAATGGACACATGGAAACGATCACATTTGATGGGTGGTTCTTTAACTTAACAAGTTATGTTAGCAACTTCTTGTGAGTAAGTTTGTAAGAAAAATTAAATTCACTTTTATGAAAATAACTGTGTTTAGTTTTGGTAAGATTGGTTAATTGTTAACTTTGCTATGATACAAAATACAAAAATCTCACGTTGTCTCATCGCAATGCCCAGATTCGGCATCCAATGACTTTTTTATTTGTCGTTGTTCCAAGCAACGACTAAAGTGGTTGATATATTTGAAATGCACACTTTCGAGTTAATTCAAATGGAATTGAAAAAGGCATTTTTGAAAATCAATAAAACCATTTTAATTGGTAAGTGCTTTTTTTTGTTAATTCTTCTTCTCATACCCATAACAATACTGTTATAAAGGCCCATGCTTATGCGAAGAGTAGTTTTAGTAATTACATGAATCTATCAAGTAAGTTATGGGCTATTTTATGAAGTTAAGATATTTGGGTATACTATAGCCTACGTCACAGATCGTGTTATTCCTACTAAATTTAACTAGTAAACAGCATATTCTGTGAACCTGATTTCTAGCAACATGTAAAAGCATCAAACGAAGTGTCTTGTTATAAGTCGCTACTCGCCAGGTTGGAATTGTATTAGTCTAGTTCCTTTGGAAATAATTTATATTGTTGTTTTACCGAAGTTTATGAATTTAGTAAGCATATTTAAAACTCAGTTTATTAATTGAACTAAAAGGTGAATGTTATTCCTAGTAAGTGGAAGTAGTTGTGCTTTTTTCATATTATACCCAATTATGTACCTGACTGTTTCCATGGAAACAAAGTGGAACCATAATCACGTGATTGAGATTTTCTTTAGAACGGAGAACGGTGAGATGGGATGATGAATTCGTATGATAGCTTGTGGATGTTACGGTAGAGTATATGAGCTTGAATAAGTGCACATGAAGAAGTATCTGTTTTTCATTTGTGTTTTTCATTTTCGTTAAATAAATCACCTTTGTATATTTTTATCTGTCTCATTCATTGAAAAGAACACATAATTAAAATAGAAAGTAACAATACATACATCGTCTATTTTGCATTTATTACTTATTACTTTAGAAAAAGATTACAAATTTATTCAAAATGCCACAAATTTAACACCACGATGGTTCAAAAATAAAATTCCAATATAAATATTTTACCGATCAACCATTTCATTTTGAAGAAAAGAAAGGATAAGAATATTTCATATTTGATTTTACAACGTAGTAAAATTTGTTCAATTTTATTGCAGCGACTGTCCGTAAACTGGGTCGTCCTCCAGCTCTGATCATGTACATCATGGATTGCGTTATGATTCTTTTCCAAAAAAGATTACAGTCTGTGCAAGTGGATCCTATGAGAAAATTCATCAAACCATCCTGGGAGGAATCTTTAAAAGTAATCTTTGACTTAAGATAAGCATGCGTTATGTTCGTGAATGATATTTTTTTCATTTTTATAGTCATTCTACGAAATACTGGTTAACAAGATATGACTTGGACAGTAGATACATACAGAACAAAATGTTAATGCTTCTTAAAATAACACTAATAAGTTTTTAAGAACATTACTATAATAACATTACTATCTGCAAGATATTTGCAAATTTCTGAAGTGGTCACATTTGCTCTTAATGTAGAACTGTAAACGGGTCGTAAGAATACCTACTAGTAGCTGCTACTGATATTTTCTCCCATTTCTTGCACAAAAACTCTATTAGGGGTTCCAAAGATTTAGCACAAACTTTTGTCTCAGAGATGGACTACACGAAAAAAATAAATCATTTGAGTTCAAGTCTAATTAATGAGGGGCCTATTTTTGAGTTATAAGAAATCAGAAAAATGTAAGCTTGCAGGAGAGAGAGGGGATGTTCGAGAACCTATAGTTTTGAGTGCTGTAGCAGTATCTTCAGTATTATGGTGGAAGTCGTTTTTTTGTCCTCCAAAGACTTTTTGTGATGAAGGAAACCCAACGTCTAAAGGAGTTTGTGACATATTAGTATAAAAGTATTTAATTTTTAACTTTAATTAAATAATATTTCGTCACACTTTTATATTACGAGGTTAGGTCATTAAATAGTGAGAAAAACGAACTGTAGAATCATTCTTTTCAATTTATTGTATTGTTATGACATTTCAAGTTCAGGAGACTAGTAGATTGCTGCCTGCTGTTTATATGAGTCAAACATTCAAAGGTGCGCATAATAATTAGTCTGTTGAGTTTTTGATGTTTCTATTAAACAAATAAAATTTTAAATATTCTTTTGACTTGATATAAAACTACTGTGAAACTATGCAAAACTTTTGATAAAAACATTTTTACAGAATTTTTACAAAGATTATTAATGAAGTGAAATTGACGGTATTCTGATGGAGACTAAGTCAACAAACGAATTCCTTATTAAAATAATTTAAAGCGTTTATAATGAACTTTTATGATCATTTTTGTATATGCTTGAATTTCTATTTTTCTGATTTTGCTTTTAAATACTGCAATTGAAAAAGGTTAAGTTTATGACACCTGCAAAACATTTTTTAAAAAAAAAATTTTTATTATGATTTAAAAATGTAAGTTTTTTATACATTTTAATGTTGTACTAAATCTTAATTGCAACGTTTTATCCTAAATTTTTAAAGAATAATTTAAAAGAAACCATAAATTAATATCTGTGCAACTTTTTAAATATAAAAAATATTTTGAATTTTAAATAATTCTGAAAATTTAATTTTATAGTAAAAAAAATTATTTTCTACTATAAAATTAAATTTTTTATTTAATTAAAATCTGCCTGATTTTAAATTTTAGAAATAGGGTAAATATATTTGATTACTTAAAGGTGAATATAATGAGTTTAAATAAATATTAAAAATATTTCAAATTGCAATGAAAAGTTTTTGAATTGTAATAACGAGTAATAAATCTTCCGCTTGTAGGGTTCTTACTAAGTTGTATCGCTCATTTTGAAATAAAAACAGAAAAAAATAGAAATAATGCAATTAAATTAAATTGAGATATGTTCGATAAAATAATTTTTCGTGCATATTATTCGCTAACTTAATTTTTTCGCAAGATAAGAATTTTTATTTTGTATATAGTATTCTTTTCTTATTCTAAATAAGAGATGGCAGCACCATTTTCAACAAAATATACTTTTGAAATAAGGAAAATAAAGTTTTTTCTTTTTCTCTTCGCTGAAAAATTCTCTTTACTGAAATTTATTGTATCTTAGGATGTAAAGTTTCAAAATGAAAATTTAGTCAATCTAATTATTAGCTTAATCTACTTTTAAGTAAATAAATCACTCATAAACTGTTTCGTCAACAAATTATAAATAACTGAATGAAAAATGAGAATAGTATAGTAAATTGTGTTATTTTTACGATGTTCTAATGAAAATATATTTTCTCTTGAATAATTAAACTGAAAAATTTTCGTTTAACACTTTAATATTTCTGCATAATACTTAGAGGTTCCACACCCTGCTCGCTGCTCTCCCCAACCCCCCACAATTTCTTCTTATTCATAATTTTTTTTCTCTCTTTTGAACGTCAATATTTTTATAATAACACGGAGGGAAAAAATTTCTCTCCAAATATACAGTCAATGCAGCTCTATGTAAGGACATTTTGTGCTCATGTTTATTTATCTTTTCTATGTTTATTTATCTAGATGCTTACCCAGATTTCATCTGTCCTTAAAAATTAACCAAAAGAATGCAGATTGTGAGACTCAATATTCGTTAACGAGACTTATAACAAATAATAATCGAGAGTAAATCGTGAAATTTGTTTATGCTACAATTCAGCAGCAAATCAGACTTGACGCCCACGAGTAGTGCCATTTTGAATTGTATTATAATCTTTAAACAATGTTGGATAAATTAAATTATTTATTTTATGTGCCACTCTTAAAAATCAAATGAGACAGCTGCTTAAGAAATAATGTCCAATACTTCTAATATAATTGCACTTCTAAAGAAATAGAAACATTGCAACTTTCTGTGAAGTTTTAAATAATAAATCAGGATTTCAAATGTTTGATTAAAATTTAAGATCAATGTTTAATTTTTCAAAAAATAATTTTGAATCAATTAGGTCATTCCTTAAACATTAAAAATTAAGGACACTCATGCTTACCAATTGCTTTAGGGCTGTTTTTACATCATTGTTTAAAATTGCATTTTGCCATTTAAAATTTCTCCTGTCTTGCAGTTTATGTCAACCACGGGATTTCTCGCGGCTTTACAAAATTTTCCAAAAGACACGATCAACGATGAAGTTGTAGAGTTATTGGAACCGTACTTGATCATGAAAGATTACAATATGGAGACAGCAAAAAGGGTGTGCGGCGATGTTGCAGGTCTTCTCTCCTGGACAAAATCCATGGCGTTTTTCTTCGGAATAAATAAAGAAGTTTTACCTCTAAAGGTAGGTATAAGTTATTGGCTGAATTGAAATGCCTCTTGTTTGAAGCGTCACAGTCATTTTCAGATGCACTAAGAATATTGGAAAAGTCTCCTGTATTATCTAATCAGCCTATTATTTTTAGGTTTATTAAAATGAGCCAAGCTGATTTTAAGCTAATTAGAAAATATATCAGTGATTGCTCCGTGTGTCTAATTCTTTACATTACTTTATTCAATATGGCGGCATAATAGAAGACTCATTTCAATAACCTTGAGCAAATTCAAGCTCAGCAAATTCTTTTTGCATATTGACTAACTTAAATATAAACCCGGCTGATTATAAGCCTAAAAATATTAAGCTCAATAGAAATACTGAAGACTTTTCCATAGCCTGGAGCATTACAAATTGAACGGTATTTGCAAAGAGACAGATTTTCCACTACACATATCAATGTCTTTCGTTAATCATATAAATAGTGTCTGAATAATTTTGAATAAGAATCGAGAAAAAAAAACACTATAAAAGTTAATTTACGATATTTCACAAATACTACAAGCTAAATATTTCACAAATACTAAGCTAACGGTCTTCAGAAAGAAACATTTTTCAAAATTCTACATGTTAACCTACGGAGAATAATATGAACGTTATTTATTGCGATATTCTTTATTTATATCGTTATTTCTTTATTTATTAAGTAACTAATTAATATTTTAAAACATTTTTTTGTATCGTTTTATTCATTGAAATCTGTTCTATTGATCCAGGCTGTCAAAATGTAAGCTTTAAGTTAGTAATTTTTTAAAAGTAATTTTCAACATTCATATTTTAATAAACCTTAAACTTAGTTTACAAGGTTTAATAAAACATGTTTCAATGGATAAAATGAAGGAAAAAAAAGGATAACAAAATATCGCTTAGTTCATAAAAATTTCACGTTCATATAACTTTTTGTTGATTTACGCAAAGAAAGAATTTCTTTTTTCTGTCTGATAAGGAACCTTAACAAGTCACATTATCATAATAAGTAGTTGTTTTGAAATTTCAATATCCATACTCAGAATCCGTTTGAATAAAAATAAGTTACAAATAAGTTTAATTGTTAAATAGTAAGTTTTCTTAATAATTATAAACTATTAAGTTTTCAGCAATTACTAAGCTAAGTTTGCAGTTTGATTTATTAAGTTTGTATATTAACTCACTAACCTTGTTCAGTGTACCAATCGTCTACATTGAGCAGTAGTTTTTAAGATTGAAGTACAGGAGGAATAAAAATAATCCAAACAATTACACCGAAGAAAAATAAGGTAGATAAATTATGTTGCTTGTATAAGTGATAACAAAATAAGACATTTTATTGATGTAGAAAAAATAAATAATCACAGCACGAAAAAAAATACAGGAAAATCCTATAACATCATAAAGCAACACATAAAAATAAAAAAGTACTATGTAAAAATATGAAATACGAAAATCTCATTACCTGATTTTGAAAAAGATATTTAAATCTACGAACCCGTTTTTAAATCACGAAATAAATTGCTTGTTTGAATTCAATTGTTTTCATTACGTTAATGATTACAGAACTTTCAAAATGGTAATTTTTCTTATAAAATATTAATTTCACAATTGTTGTTTTATAACATATGGTGTATTGAAAACAAAAATTAGAATTTTGGCTATTTAAGGCTTGTCACAAATGTATTCATCGTCTGAAAGTAATTCTGAGATTTATAACATTTTATTAAAAATAATTTGATAATTATAAAACTACTTTGGATGTTAAAACTTTCCGAAACAGCGAATTTCAATTTAAAATTCTAGTCAGGCAATACAAAAGCAAGGCAGCACTTTTTTAAATGAAGTGGCATGCTTGAAATCTTGTAGTTTATAGTCATAGTTAAAAATCCGTAAACGAAATAGCAGTGAGTTTCACATTTCTAGCTGTTTGTAACAATAGTTAAATTAATGTTACCAGTCAAGCTACGCTTCCCCGGAAAGGGTGTAAGAAATTTTTTATTACCAAGACTTACTTTTTGTTTTGATACTTTTAAATTGAAATAAAATAAAACAGATTGGTATGAGAATATCACTCACTTTTGGTGTGTCACTTTTGTATTTGCATTCATAAAAATGTGAAGACAAGTGCAGACATATAATCATCAGTAGACAAATTGTAAGGTGTTAGTTATCCAAACTAAAAATGTCGAGTAACTTTACCGTTTGATGAGAATTTGTAATTACTTTATTGTTACTATTGAAAATCGCTAGGCGTTACGCTTAAAGTTATTTTACTCTTCAATCGTTCAAATTTGATAGTAATTAAAATTTCAAAAAAGGAGATAAATAATTCATAAAAGTTTTTTACCCTTATTATAATCATTTTTAATAATATTTTACGGAACTTTTTCGGCAGCATAACTTAGCCGTCCAGGAAGCTCGTTTAGCCGTTGCCATGAAGGAACTAAAATCAGTGGAACAACAACTCGAAGATAAAGAGAACGATTTGAAAGAAGTCAAAGCTCAATATGAGAATGCTATTGCAAACAAAGAGGTACTGTTTTAGATATCCTTTTCGGAAACATTAACTTTTTTTGTGATCCTTAATGTTATGCTAACGAGCTACTGTTGGTATTTTTGGATGTCTATCTAAAAGAGTTATATGCTTTAAAACAGGAAGTTGTTTCAAAATAACAATCAACTAATGATTTATCTTGTTTGTTTCTACAAACTTGTCCAATACATATTTCAAGATTATTTAAAGGAGGGCTTAAAGAAGGAATTTCAAATATTAATCTTTCAATTTTCAAAATGCAATAAAAAGTCATGAAGTTCATTAAAAAAATTAAATCGTTCGTAAACGTTTTATTCAATTTAAAAAGTTATTATAGTCGAAGCTATTTTAAAGTTTGAATTCTGCATTCAAAAAACCATACATGTTGTACGGCTGAACAAAGCGCTTTTAAATTTCAGAGAAATTATGCTTACAACAAAATTTGTCACACGTTTCAGTCTTGGCTTGTGAGTCATATCAATGTAACTAGAAACTAAACCTAAAATTTTGGAGTTGAAAAAAGATACACCTTAAAACAAGTAAAGAATTTCAACTTTTGTTTATTCGTCATACAATGTATGGTTTGTATTACTTCGTCAATACAAACCATACATTTACAGAATAAGTTGGATGTCACTGAAATTATTCAGATATGGACCATGACTTTTCCCCATTCTTTATGCATTTTATTCGAGTTTTAAATAAAAGGTTTTCATAGTCGTTATTATCATAGTGATTGAACGTTGCTTTCAGGAAACCATACGCGTTGGATAAAAATATAAAAAAAGATGTTAAGATTAAAGTAAAATTCTTGATACGTTTCCGTTCAAGACAAATGTTATCAGAAGCTAAAAGTAAGTGGCTATGTAAAATTTAATTCGATTGTTGTTTAATTGTTACTTTAATTATTAGCTAACTTTATTTAACTTGTATTAAAATACTAAGAATAATAAACACATTTAAAGAAGTATTCAATAAATAATTAAAATATGTAAAGCTCTTAAAATGTATGTGGCAATAAAATTCGATTATTCTTTTAATATGAATTCGATATTTGCCATAGCCTTTTTTTCCTAATACGATTACATTCATGTAAGGAATCTGCAGCGCATCTAACGCCCTGTAACTTTAAAATCAAAACAAACTGCGGAATGGTATCGGTTATTATTGTATTGGTGATTGGGTCAGTAATTGCGGCAAACTGAAGATATTTTTTTTTGTCACATTTTCATGTACAAGAAGAGTAAATAAGTAAAAACTTCTCGCTGTTAGTCCCTTACCCAAAGTCCTCTATTACTTGCCAACTCCTTCCGTTCATGACGGATGATTATTCTCAAATACTTAAAGTGGTGGTAAAATCTAGCTTTACTGTTGTATTAAATTTAATAAATTTGATTACCAATAATTTTTTTTTAACTTTCTCATTCTTTCTTCCTTCCATGTTTTTTTTTTTTAATGCATAATTTTAATTTGAAGGTTTTCAATACTCTAGTCAAACTGTTCATTTATATTTTCCAAATACAAATTTTTAATTCAAACACTAACCAACTTATTCTAATAATTTTTTTTTCTTTTGATGAGACCAAAATAACATTTTTCTAATACATCACCATTTTAGTATTTTATAGAACCAAGCTGTCGCATAAATGAAGGATTCGATTCGACATTGGTGTAATATATTTATTTTTCAATAGAAAATAGAGGGGGGGAACAAAATTAATATAAAGGAAGAATCATCATCTCTCATTATTTACTATATTTTTTGTTTTTATTTCAGAGAGCAAAATTATATATGCTCAACATACCTTATTATGTACGTCACCGATATTGAACAAATTTTAATATTAATATCTGATATATACATTCTGTTCCTGATTTAATTTTACAGATAATCTATAAACGTATGCATGAACAATTAACATAAGAACTGTAAAAGTCGTCATCTCCTAGCAATTGTCATTACAAAATATTAGAGAGAAAATTAATATTATAATTTGGCCGGTTCTACACTGCTATGCTTTCTTTTTCAAATTGATCGACGATAATTGATGTAATAAGTATAATTATAAGAGAATAATACATCAATATGCCTATGGATATTGAGATTAATTTTGAATGTAATGATCAATTTTTCTCTGAAACTGTTTTTTTTTTCCTTCTTTTTTTTCTTAGAAATTAGCTGAAGAAGCTGCAGTGTGTCGCCGAAAGATGTCGCGAGCGTCTATGCTCATAACTGAGTTAGGAGGAGAATACAAGAGATGGACGAATGAAAGCAAACAACTGAAAGAGCAAATCAAAAAGTATCTTCTAATTCAAAACACTTTTTTACTATAATTTCATAAATTAAGACTAGTTAAAAAAAAAAAAGACGCTATGTTCGTCGCTTGTCGTCTGTTTTAACATGCTAGTTTAAAGTTTTGAAATTCACAAAAATGCAACTCACATTTTTGACTATTCCGTAATCTTTGTGGAGTTCTTTAACGATTCAGTAATCGTAATTTTTGACAAGATTTTTTGCCCCAAAATTTTTCATTCTTCAGCATCTTTAAAGCCATTCTTTCCATTTGACAGGATGAGACAGGGATTAGTGCTCTCGTTTGACAAGTATATTTGTTTGGTTCAATTCTTGGCTGCCTCTGAGTAACCATTCATATGGATTGCTTTTACTCTCTGTTGCATTTTCTATTCAAAAGTGTTTATCGATATGTAACATTAAGCTTAATGCTTTTGACGAAATTTCTATTCGTTCATTAAGCTTCGTACTAGTGAGGTTGTTAATTTCACTTGCTCGATTCACTTGACGAATTGTTAGTTCGTAACATTTCCCAAGGAATGATTTTTCAAAAAATAAAAAAAAGAAGGAAAAAAGGAAGAATAAGAAGAAAATTTTGTTAATTGAAAATATCTGGGGTTTTTTAAGTGAAAAAATGGACACTAATACTTTTTCTAGTTTGACAAATTGATTTAAATTGAGAATGTTAGTCCGTCTTAACTCGTTTTTTTTTCAGAATTAATTAAAAGTTAATTTAATATTAAGTAAAAAAAAGATCATAGTCCTTAATAAGACGAAATCGTAACTTTTTCCTGAACAATATAGGAATAAAAATTGCTGACTAATTTCTGAAACAATATATTAAGGATTATAATTGTTGTTTTTTTATCATTAAATTTTATTAAGTTCGGGTAAGGGTAGAAAAAAGGTGCTTGATATGAGATAGATCTATAATTTTCTGCATGTGACACTTATATTGTCGCAGAAAGAGATGGTAGATTCTAACAAAATCAATCTAGAACAAAAGCTGTGGGGAGGATATTGAGAAAACAGAAGATTTCTATTGGTTGTTGTGCGAGCATGGTTGATGTTAGCAAAAATTGCCTTTCTTGAGTTCTTGAGTTCGTCACGACATTGAAATGTATTATTTTTTATCAATTCAGCGTGAATGATTTATAATGCTTTTTTAATTTCGTGAGTAATAAAATTATCATAAATCGAAATTATTACAATTAGCGCTTTAATATTTAATTTGTTTTGATACTATATTAATATCTCATAAAAAGGCCCTTTCCTAGATTCTGCAGATTTTTTCGTATTTTTATTTTTTGAGACATTACTGAGGTGTTTTTGAGTTTTGTAAGTTTGCGTATTTCGCTATATCTACAGAACTGTTTAAGCGAATTGAAAAACTTTTTACACACAGTTATAAAATTAGTTTCTGTAAAAATAATTCCGTGATAAAAATAATTTTTAACAAGTATTTATTATTTATTTTATAATAATTATTTTATAATTTATTATTTATATTTCGCTATATCTACAGAACTGTTTAAGCGAATTGATAAACTTTTTTCACACAATTATAAAATTCGTTTCTGTGAAAATAATTCCGTGATAAAAATAATTTTTCATAATTATTTATTATTTATTTTATAATATATTTTATTATTCGAAATCAATTCAATAGTTCTAGAAAAAATAAATTTTAAATATCTGAAGTTTTTAAAATTCGATTTCACAGGAATTATTGGACCAATTTCATTCAAATTTTGTATTTTTCCATATAGAATTACTTTCTTCAAAATGATGTAAAAATTTACTAACCTTGCAATTAAAATTTATTTCGATTATTACTAAATAAAATAATTAAAAATAATAAATAAGGAATTATTAAAAATCGTTTTTTTTTTGCATGAAATTTTTGTGTCTGATTTCGTAACTTAAAATATCGTCTGCGGTTAGCATATTTGAGGTTTCCCCTTCTACCTATTAAAATTGTATCCTAGTATGAGAAAATCTGATCTTTGGATCAAAAGTTATCTAGGGTGATTCATATTTTTTGTTTGCTTTTTGAACACTGTTTGTTTCGAGAGCAAACAGCAGCGGTCGTCATAGCACCGCATGTTATGACAACGCGTACGCACTGTTTGCTCTTGAACATGCATCTGATTTGTACAGTAGATTTCTGATCAAAAATGACATCTAAACATCTACAAACATCAAAATTGGACTTAAATAAAGTTGTGAAGGTAATGCATTATTTTTTGATGCAAATAGTTTGAGAGCAATCAAATTCGCAGTGTCAATTAAAGTGACTACTTTATCTTTTCGCTTAGTTACCGATGATTTTAAGACTCTCTTTTGAGTTTTCAACTTATCCATAATGTAAAATCGAATTGAAACGTTGTAGTAAAAGCGAACTCATCTTGAACTTAAAATACACTTTGCACTGTAGACTAGATTTCTAATTCCTAAAAAGGCAAGGTGAATGCAAACTTCGTTCAAGGGATGAAATTCTCTTTACTGACAACTTTAGCAGTATTTTATAGGCTTTCTCGGGCCATTTTCTCAGGTCATTCATTTAAACTCACCAAAAATATCAATGCATAATAAACTTAATAAAAAATAAAGAATTCTAAAAATTATTAAACAGCAGCAGTTGCCATAGCAACACGTTCAATGACAACGCGTGCTCGCTATTTGCTCTTGAACACTGTATATTACATTTAAAAATACTAAGCATGCTAATCATAATTTTGAAAAGCGTGGATTAATACTAGGGTCCTTTCCCCTAGATTAAATATCGTTGCTTAAACCTATATTTGCTAAATCCTATTTTCACTCAAACCTTGAGTACTCACGTGTCACATTTTTCTTTTCTTTAGACTAGTTGGTGATGTTCTGGTAGCTACTGGTTTCCTCTCATATGCTGGACCATTTAATCAAGACTATCGATCATCACTCATGAGCTCTTGGCATTCAGAAATTCTTAAGCGAAAAATTCCGGTCAGCCAAAAAATAAATACCATGGAGATGTTGGTCAGTGCATCCACGGTAAGGAGAAACCCAACACTTTTCTTTTCATTACTTAGAAACTAAATAAATACAACTTAATAACACAACCTAACTTGATTAAAACTGAACACTGTAAAGTTTCGAAACTATTCAAATTTTATGGCATTTCTGTCGGCGAAAATCATTGTAAATATAACATTTTTCAAGTCAATGAAGTATGTGTTTGAAGCAATATTTATGCATTCTTTGGTTGAAATAACATAGCTCACTTTTTTTAACCTAAACGTTATTAAAATTGGCTACATCTTTATTGCGGTGATTAGTTGAATCATATTATCGTGCAAATTAACTATATGGCACCTAAACTTAATTATATGGTACTTACTTGATGACACATTCCTACACTTTTATCCAACCTACTTGCAAACCTACTACTACCAACCAACAGCCTACTTTATCAAAATTTTATAGTAAAGAGAGAATTTAAAATTTAATGCTGAGAACAATGTACTGATAAGCCACACGCTTGTTGAAGAAAACGTTTAAGAAAAAAGAAAAACGTCCAGTTCAAACTTAAACGTTTTTGTTATTTTGAAATATTGGGGAAAAACTTAGTTCTTAAATACTAATTCATCACCACAACTAATGGTACGTTAAAATAGTACACCTTAAATGATAGTTTCAACTATCATTTAAGTTGTACTATTTAACAATTCAACACCTTACTTAGTTTCTAAAACATTGGCATTGTAATATAATATGAACTATATAGAAACAATTGTATTATAATTATTATTTTGTGAGTAGCATCAAAATACAGAAAATATCATAGAAGCAATTCTTAATGTGTTCGTATAAAAGGCAAAATTATTCAAATTATTGTCGTAATGAGTGAAATTATGTTTTTCAGATTTCAGAATGGAATTTGTGTGGCCTGCCTAGTGATGAGCTGTCGTCACAGAATGGCATACTTGTCACTAATGCTCTTAGATATCCTCTTCTAATCGATCCTCAAGGGCAAGGGAAATCATGGCTGAAAAACTCTGAAGCAAAACACGACCTACAAGTAAGATATTGTATTCTAATAAACACAAATGTTAAGGATTTTAAAAATTAGTTTTTAGCATCTCATCCAAGTTCTATAATGTCATATTTTGACAATGTTATATTCTTACAAATTGTTATCCACAACTTAATTAGTTTTAAATTTATTCACTGATTAATAGAAGATAATAATTAGGTTTGAAGAAATGCTACACTCAGTTTTGCATAAGGTTAAATATAGATGGCGCAATCAACAAATATATTCATATATTTGGTTTAACGTACAGCAGCTATCGTCTTAATACATCTTTAAAATATTGAAGAAGGAAATTTGATAATAGGTGTGTAAGAGAATTCAATAAGTAAACTTTTTTTTTCGTACAAATTAAAAGCAGCCTCAAGTCTAAAAATAATTAAATTTTTTTAAAGAAAAAGCAAGAAGGATATTGAAGTGGTGTTAATAGGATTATAATATACTATAGTTCCTCTATTCAATTCTAGTTGAGAGTTGCAATAGCTGAAAAATTGTATTAAACATTGGGGTTGAGAAGGAGAAAGGTAAATGGGGTTTCTCCCCACTCACGTCATTTTCATAAGTGCAAGGAAATTTTCTTTTGCAGAGTGAATTTTTATTTTATTTATTTATTTATTAGTAGAATGCGAACTTTAGGTTAAAGATATATTAATAATAAAACTAAAATGAACAACATTTTAATTGAAAGGATAACTTTACAAAAAATTAAATTGCAAAAGTTTTTTTAGTTATTTTTATAAAAATATTTGCCATCATTTAGATAATTATTTTTATTGTAATATAAAAACTCTTTTTATAGTACTAAATTTTTAATTTATTCGATGGAATCTTGCTATCTTTACGATAAAATCTCCATGGATGAATGTTCGAATCTGGTAGTCAAAACTTAGACTTCTTTCCGATTAGCTAGAACACTCAAAACTGTTTTGAAACGCAGGCGTTTTTTTCTCGAAGCTGTATTTCGAAATCTATTGTGTTCATTAATATGCAGCCTTAAACCTAATGGTTTTGATGAAACTCGTGTTCTCATGTTCTCAAACAATGAACACTGTAATTTATTCAATTTGCTAAAATGTTTGCTCAGTGCCCTTGAAACCCTTGAGCCCCTTGGTTTAGCCAAATTATTTTTTTACAGTATCCGTTGTCTTCATTTTACAGTGAAATATCTTTTGTAAGAATGCGATTAACAGATAAAACATTAACGTTTACAATATATTACATATTCCATCCCATAACTAAATCTAAAATTTATGAAAAAGTATGACATAGCAACAAACAAAAACTTATCGAATTTTCTAAAATAAACAGTAACATTTCTTGCAGATAACATCGTTAAACCACAAATATTTTAGACAACTTTTGGAAGAATGTTTATCACTTGGCAAACCTCTCCTTATTGAAGATGTTGGAGAGGAATTAGATCCAATTTTAGAAAATATTTTAGAAAAGAACTATATTAAAAGTGGATCAACATTCAAGGTAAGTAGTGACTCTTAAGAACAAATTTTAAGTTCAAAAAAATAAAATGAATTAAAATAAAATAAATTTTAATTTATTTCGCATAAATTCATAAGCATGTGCGGGAGATATGCTATTCATAAACATTCATCTGATGATCTAGGAAGATACTTAGAAAATCATCTTCCTATTCCTTTCACTTTAAAAGTTTCAAGTGTTCACGTATTTTAAGACAAATGTTTATGAATATGGAGTAAAATAAACAAATTCACAACATATTACTTAAAAATTTGCGAAGAAATATTTTTTGTGACTTCAAAAGCACTAAAAAAATGTGCTTAAAATAACTTTTTTTTCCAAGATAACATTGTAACCAGTTTTGGAGCATAATGGATTATATTATCGTTAAAATTTTTTGTAACTTCAATACGGTTCCAATACGGCTTTATTACGGTATCTAGTTTAACTACATTATTGCGCAAATTAATCCTTTTTTAAAACTTTTATAATTCGATATTAAAGCTAAACTTGAATTAAACTCATTATTAATTTTGAAACAAATTTGCACAGATTTTTTTAAAGGTACTGACAATATAAAGACTTCTCAGTTTTACGTTGAATACACGTATGTTTACGTAATTATTAATACAAGTTGAATACACGTACATTGCAATCACTACCCAACAACTTGTGTTAGTTACAGCGTTTGCACAGAGAAATTTGCTATAGAGCTTTTCGTACGTGAATTTGCGGGATACTACGTGAAAGTGCTGAATCTCATGGTTCAACGTTGTACTAATTTTTATAAAATTGCAGTAACAAATATTTTTGAAAACTTTAAATTCTAAATTTGAAAATACTGTTTTAAGCGATAATAAATAATTAATTAACATTTTATTCAATAGAATAATAATAATAATGTTTAATGAATTGATGAAAGAACAGTAAAAAATTCCTATTTCCTAAATAATTTTATATTATTATCCAGGTTATGTTGGGAGAAAAAGAATGTGATGTAACAGATGGTTTTCAATTGTTTGTAACAACGAAATTGCCAAATCCAGCCTTTTCACCAGAAATAAGCGCCAAGACTTCGGTGATAGACTTTACGGTCACAGCTAAAGGGCTAGAAGATCAGCTACTTGGTAGAGTCATGTTATCCGAAAAATCGGTTCGTGAATCATACAGTTTTGCTTCTTTGTAAAAAATTATTATTCGATATTGTTTAAAAAATGGCTTTTCAAGAAATATTCTTAAAAAATTTGGTAACCTGCTCTTAAATTGAGTTTTTACGAGTATCATTCTTTTTTAATCTAATAAATTGACATTAATATAAAACAAGTGACCCCCTTTAAAACATTATAAGTAAAATAGAAAAACTTTTAAAAAAATGGTTGTATGCAAAGGAAAAAAAATGGCTTCACGTATGAGTTGTAAGTAAAAAATTTAGAGCCGGGATTTTTCCACTTACCAACAAAAAAAAATTTAAATAAATAAATAATCGGTGAAATAAAAAGGAATTCACGGGAGAAGGTAAATTAAATATTATGTGAACATTTTTTTGCTGTACCTTATAACTACAACATGACGTGACGTAATTTAACATAAGTGTTAATAGCGCTTTCATTATTTAGTTGTTAACAAAACGAATGAAATAATGACTTCAATTATGAAAAATTAAATCCAAATTTTTTTTTTGTCAGCAAAGCTTTTTTGATGATGTGAATTAGTAATTTTTGGTTCTAGTTATCTTACGTAGGATTACTTGTTGCTTCTCATATAGGGTGACTAAAGCAACGAATTTCTGATTTACATTATAAAGAAACTTTGCTTGCAGAAAAAGTTAGAACAGAAAAACATATCGTCTCAAAATTTTTGCAACCTACTATAAAATCAGAGAATGGTGTCATACAAGTTCATGAAAGTAGTATAAGTTGAATCCAAAAATATTTTTTCTTGTGCCTTGTGTAAAATTATTAGTTTGACATTTGTTTTAATATAAAGCTGAAAGTAATATAACTTAGAGGAAATACTCCAATTTGGAAATACTATGTATCGCACATAAGATCTGACGGTCAAATAAGAAGTTTGGCCTGTAATAAAAAAGATTTTCTTCTGTTTTTCACTAGAATACGGTTTTGCAAAAGCTACGGAGATAATTGATGTGAATATATGAACTTTTTTCTCCGTCTAATACTTTAACATTAGTATTATTCCTGTTTAAAATGAAATGTTGAATGTTGAAAAAATCTTAAATTTGATTTGTTTTCCATTTATTATGAGAAAATTATTTGGTAAAAATTTAAGAAAACAGCAATACTTCTTTTTTCCATGGATAACACAATAAACTTCATATTTTATACATAGCATATATAAAAAAATTGCAAAATTATCAATTACACAAAATTAGTTTTGATTCGGTTGCTAATGATAAAAAATTGCCTATATACAAACATATTTTTTTTTCTTATGAATAATTCCATTGCAGTTATTTAAAAAAATACTGTAACCATTTTAACCTGAATCTTAAATTTTGAATTTCAGGAATTAGAAAATGAAAGAGTTAAAGTCATTAGTGAGATTGTTGAAAGTAAAAACAACATCAAAGAATTGGAAAACAATTTACTGGATCACCTAACTAGCGCTCAGGTACTTTGGCAATTTAATTGATATTCTAATTTGAACTGATGATATAAGATTTTTTTTATTTATTTCCAAATGTCAATTAATTTGATGTAAAAATTCCCTTAAGCCAACTGATTATTTTGCACGACTTAAAAATATGTACAATATGACAGTTAAGAACAGAACGCATTAATAATACTTTTGATCTAATTATTGGATTTCCACGTAATTTTTATAAATCATGGAACCAATCCTCACGGTGCTAGAATATTTGTGCTAACAATATTTTAAAGTATGAAATCAGAAACAAAAATGTTCTTTTTCTGATTAAACCTGCATTTTTCGACGAGTTTGATTTCTTGACCCTACAAATAGGAGAAGTTGCCGCAATTTAGAAAATATGTTCCTAATAGTTTAGGCAGGAGAGCGAAATAATCATTTTTACATTATTTTTAACTATGTAGTTTTCAATGACAAAATTCAAAAATGCAACTTTTTTATACTATTCAGTCGGAAAAAAGGAAATCGACAACCGCTCTCCTCCCTAATTTATTGAGACAGTATTTTCCAGAACCCCCCCCCCCTGCTGTTTTGAAGAGCCTGGAATCAAAATCATTCTAATATAAAACATGTTAATGGGATACCTGCAAGTGACGTAGTGTGAGTAACTTGATGCTGATTGGTTGTTGAAACGTGGCATTTGTTTACGTTAGCAACTTTTCCTTCCCTTCTGAGCAACCCAAGCCCAAAAATCAACAAAAAATATCAACAAATATTAAATTTAAACTAAGTAAAAGACGTAGACGAGGAAGAATTATATTTCAACAAATTCGATCTGCGATACGGCTCTGTATTAAGATAAACTTAACGTAAATTAACATTAAACATGAAACTTAGCTCAACTTTAACTCGCTAATTTGCTTATAAACGATCAGCAGGTGATACGTCAGAGGTCACACGTGTGGGTATCCGTGATCTTATTCTTCTTTTTGAAGTGCAAGTACCCAATTACGAGAAAGTAAGTTTTCAAGTCTTATTTCAAAACTTTAAAAATCGTCTGCTCAAAATAATTACTAAATTTAAGGCTAGTCTCACAGGTAATCAAGATTTCATCTTAGAACGTAACAATACGATTGTTAGATCAGAAATAATTAAGGTGTTCTGTTTTTTAAATTGTCCCCTCTCTATTTTATAAAGGGTGTTTTGTAAATTACGCCTGTTTATAATGAAATTAGATTTTTCTTTCGATGATTGGCTTCACTTTATTCATTAATTTATTCACTTCGATTTAGTATTCTTTCAATGTAACAGCCTGAGAGCGATTTCCTTTCCTGCAACGCATTTTGATATTGGAAAGTTATCACACATATGAAGTATCATTCGCAGTGACTGGTTGTAAATTTTATGCTATCATTGTGCTTGGCAATGTCTCTAGAACAACAACGATTACGCGGCAGATACTTCATAAAATCTGTAACAATTGTAACCGAAAAATCTATAGGTTGAAATCGTTATGTTTAAACAAAACATTGAGTTAGTGCAAGATAATATAATAGATGAATGGTGAATTCAAAACTTCATTATTTCTTTTCATATATTTCTAGCCCAAAACCATATTTTCGAAAACATTTCCTACACATTAAAATCATTTAAAAAAAATATTCATTTTCCTTCTCAAATCCTTAAAAATTATAACACTTTTCTATAAAATGCTATAAAACTCTATTAATTGTTCATAAAATAATAATAATAATAAAGAAATTTTACAAAAAGTTCTTCAGTGAAAACCAATCCTCAAAATTTCTAAAAAGGAAATTTATATTTATCGAAAATAGAAAAAAATCCCTCTCTTTAGTAAAGCAGTCTAAGAATGGGTTCCGTTTAGATTTCTTAATATAGAAAAAGTGCAAGTAGATATGCATTTATTATTTTCAATAATTAAATTGTAAATTTTAAATAAATTTTGAAATTTGCTCGAGATATAAGCGAAAAAATTGGCGATTTCAAACCAAATCTTAATAGCTAAACTCTAAATCGTAGTAAACTAAATATCTTGAATGTTGAAACTGGAGATTAGTTATAGGTCGCTGTTGTAGGTCCAAGTGCAAAGAATTTTAATCCTAACCCTGAACCCGAGATATATAGGAGTGCTTAGATCCCGGGTACGCCCGAGATATACGTCAAATAAAGACCAAAATTGAAGTTTCGCCACTTGGAACTTTGAGGTCTCGCATGGCAAGGAAATTCCTCATTAAAACCTTTTTAATTACTAACCTGCAAAACAAAAAGCGAAGAGAAAAATCTTGAATTGAATGTGAAAGATAATTACCAATAACAGTAGGCAATTAAGTCTTTCATCTTCTGTAAGATTCCCAATCAAAAACTCTCTTTGTAAACCGTAAGAACTTAAGAATTTATTTTTATTAAACTGTGCTTCACCAACTTCTTTTTGCAAGAAGATCTAAATAAAGCAGTAAGAAAGAGTATGAATGTTCGAGCCCACTTGAGCCTTTTTTTCATTTCACGAGCCGGAGCTTTCGTCGGGATTTCGAGCTCAGCCCATTTCATCTCTATTTGAAACACTCTTTATTACCTCACGGGTTACGTTCTCAAATATTTTATGGAAGTAGAAAATTCATTTTAACGTATAATTCCTTATAAAAGTTAAAAGTAAGTAACAATTATATTTTCCTATTTTATTTTAGGGATCATTGGTGGACAATGAGGGCCTTATGGGAATTCTCCAGGACACAAAAGCTACTACTCTCCAAGTGTCTACCAAGTTGGGTGTAGCAGCTACAACGCAAGCTAAGATAAACGAAGCCAGAGAAGAATTTCGTTTTGTAGCAGCCCGTGGCAGCCTCCTATATTTTCTTATAGTGGAGATGAGTGTCATCAATGTTATGTACCAAACATCTTTAAAGCAGTTTTTAGGACTTTTTGATATTTCTATTGTAAGGTAACAGAGAGTAATCAATGTCTGATTAAGGAACATGAAAAAAGCGCTAATAATGCTACATAAACAGTCGATACGATAGTTTCGGATCCATAATAAAAAGTTTTCAGTGTTGAGACATAAAATGAACGAGAGAAACGCAGAGATGTAAAAGAATATTATAAACAAATTACATCAAGGGAAAAAGGTTTGACTGATTGAGTGGGGTGAACAAGCTTAGAAAAGATAATCAAATTATAAAAAGGGACAGTTGATAAAGACTTGGGGGTAGGATAAGAGCGCCTAATGTTGCAAGATGTAGAACAGTGGTTACCAACTGGCGGCCCGCAGGCCACATCCGGTCCGCGAAGCCTTTTTTTGTGGCCTAACGAATTAAAATATATTAGTTGTCATTTTTTAGGACAATTTTCGAAAAAAATCTACATGGATTAAAAGTACTTTTCTTCGTTTAAAAAAAAACTTAATTTCTTCGTTTCTGGAAATTTGACACACCAACGGTGCAAATAAATTATTTCTCAGGTAAAGATCTACTTCTTATTTTAATTTGTAATTCAATGTTCCTTCAAACATAAAAGAGTCCTATATAAAATTTTGATAAAGTTGCGGCCCGCCATTTGACTGGTGTTTTTAATTGTGGCCCCCGGCCTCACGTAAGTTGGAAATCCCTGATGTAGAAAATAAAAACAAAATGGATTTCCAAATATTTGGAAAGAATAGGAAATAAGAATTGTCATTAAATAGATTATTAGAATTTTTCAAAATATAAAATGATTCCCAGAAATCTAGGTCAATTGTTGAGAAACTGTGTTGAATGATTTTACCCGAAGAATACTCAACTACTTTTGATTAAAAATTCAGCTATGAAGGACAATGGAAGACTTATTATCCTGATTTTGAACGCATAAACCATTTTCTTTAGGTCGTAGTTTTAAGAGTACGTTTTATGTGGTTATTACTCGTGCTTTTTTATGCTATTTTGCTCATATATTTCGAAAAGTTCATGCTTGCTATACTTGAATAAAAGCATCGACTAACATATTCTTCAATGCTGATTCTTTTAGGTCAGATCCAGACGCAGATATTCAAAAAAGAATTCGAAACATTAGTGAGTATTTAACTTATGAAGTGTACCGTTACGCCGTAAGGGGATTTTATGAATGCCACAGATTTCTTTTTGTTCTTATGTTGGCTTTAAAACTGCAAATGGAAGGTGGAAAAATCCAGTATAATGAGTTCTTTGCTTTCGTTAAAGGTAAATAGCAGTTGATACATTTCATTCGATTTTTTTTCTATTCATAATACCTGTCTACAGCAATTTGTTTTTTTTCTGCAGGAGGTGCCTCTTTAGATCTGAAATCAGTCAGAACTAAGCCTTATACTTGGATACCTGATGTGATTTGGCTCAATATTGTTCAACTGAGTCGGTTACGCAACTTCTCAACACTTCTTGATGAAGTAAGAGTAACAATTTTACTTCATTTTCTACACTTTTAATATTAGTCACTTAACTTTACAAAACAATTGAAAACTTTATATCATGCCAGAAACATCATGTGGTTTGTTTTTTAACAGCGCCAGGATGCAATGTTTTTTAAAACGTTTCTTAATGTAGAGCTCCTATATATTTATAGACATCATAACATTATCGGGATTTAAAATGCAAAAGGATTCCTCTCTATAACTCTCACATACCCTCATCAGAGATAAAAATAATACTATATTTTAATATCTTTTTAAAAATTGAATAGAAATTATGCATACATTAGATGTCAGAAATTAGTATTTAAACTTCATTATGGTGGGACGAATTAATTATTTATGACGAGATTACGCAGATTAAAACTAACCAGATTGCCAGATGAAATTTTAATGCGTTTTTAATATTCGCTATTCAATTTTATCCCCGCAAAAAATTAGTTCTGATATTTTAAATATGGTCTTTTTTATAATTTATTTGTCAAGCTTTTGTTCATGTTTTTTTCTCCTCGCTTAATTTATCAAGTAGAGAAAGTATACAAATAGCAGCGTTAATTTTTGTCCCCTTATGTGTATATGATTTTGAATTCATTTTTGACCAATATTTCAATTTATTCTCGTTTTATTTAATCATTCATACCCTATATTACTCTATTATTTCATAATATACAATGCATAATATCCTACACAATTAGCAATAAGCGTTAAAACCCATTACTTAATTTATGAAAGAAAATTCCAAACGAAAGATGAAATATTTTACAAAATATGTAAGTACCTGTCTTTAATTTTTGAGGTATGCAGCAAAGAACAGGAATGGAAAATCTGGTATGACTCTGAAGCACCGGAAAATACGCCTTTCCCTTGTGGTTATGACAAAGTTTTAGATTCTTTTGGAATTTTATTGATGATAAGAGCATGGTGTCCAGATAGAACACTCTCTCAAGCAAAACGATTTATTTCGGGTAAGCTAACCCATTAATAAAATCCTCTTTTTGTGACATTTATTATATTAAATTATTTAAAAGATTATTTGCTTTTATTTTGCAGTCCTTATCTTACTATACATATTAAATAACTTCCTTACTAATTAGAATTTGTTGTATTAAATTATTACATATTTACATTAAAGTTCATTGTAATATAACTATATTACATGCATTTTAAATATTGCATTAATATTGGATTAATTCAGCTAATATGATTTTACTGGATAAAACATTAGATAAACTGAACTTATATACTATTCATATTCTCATATGAATAGTATATAAGCGACGTAATATTTAACATTATTATTTAACATAATGCGCATAGGGAAATTTGATATTATGTGATATATAGTTTATAGCAGACTGTTTAAATTTCTCAGTAAAAAAAAAGCATCATATTATTTTTTAAATGTTTACATTTTAGCTCGATCTTAGCAAAGAAATAGGTAGGCGATAATTCATAGTTATATGTTTCTATTGTGACTGTAAAATCTTTATGGTCTTATATTACAGAGTTAGCCTAAATGCCCAAAGGACACTTTTTTATTTACAAAAATACAATGCACAAAGAGAGGTGACACATGGAAAGACACATATACTCAAGTTTCAGGTAGATATGTTCATTATGGGCGTTCTAGGTCACCCCCAAAAGTAATTCGGTTATTGTACATTAGTTCAATAACATGCCCCTGTCATCACAGCAGCAGTGCTGTGTTTCTGCAGTGTTAATGAGATTGGACGTAGGCAACCTTTGTCCTTCAGAAGTTGTCATTGGGAGTAGTACGTAAATATTGTCCTTCATAAGTTCATGTTCAGTTTGCAAAAAAAAGTTAACATCTTTAGTAACTTTTGATGTAATGATTGGATTTGCACATACTGGAACTCAATCCTAATAGGTGAGGAACTTAACCTTAAATATTCTCATTAATTAGTGCAAACGCTGTTTTAAGTTAGATTAGGCTAGTTAGTTTTGGTTAGGTATGTATTAAGTTAGGTTAGATTAGATTTGGTTAGGCTTAGATTACATTAGGTTAAAACATGAAAAACATAGAGTTATTTTGCTACCTCCTTACATGATCTTTGCAGAAACACATTATTGCTGCTGTGATGAAAATTAATAGAATCATTTGATTAAATATATGGACGAAAAAGAGTTGTCGTTAGTATGCGTTTCGGGTGAATAAAGGTGCATACGCTGAACATTTGTCTTATGTAACTTAGTGAGTGTTCCGGGAATAACCTGTCTTTGTTTGTCTTACACTTATAAATAAACAGTTCTTTAAAACAGGAAAAAACATTTAAGCTAACCTTGTAATTCTTCAGATACCATTCCTCGAGGTGAATAAGGGTTTGGTTTAGTATTTTGTCAGTCAGGAAGGAAGACCTTCTCTTTGGGGTCTCAGTCCAAATGAGGAGGTCATCGGTATGGAGTAGACATTTGATACCAGGGATAGATTCTTTTATTTTATTTTATGACCGCCGTTGAACAGTCGACCCAATTTTTGGATTTACGACTACTAATGTTCAACGCCGTAGCCTTGTAATTTTGAACCAATCCAGAAGACAAGGAAACTCCTGGATCGGTACCCCCAGAGGTATTGATTTGTTATGGGAACATGGAGGACTTTGAGACTCGACAGATTTAACGTGCATCAGTCAACATTTACTACACGTGGAGTCTTTGACCGGCGGGGACCGAACCCACGAACTCTTAGACATGGGCCCGGCACCCCACTGACCAGGCTATCCCGGCCTAGTAGCGACAATTTAATTTTACATAGATAAACTAGCAACGTTACATTACAGACTCAAAGGATGGACATCGACAATAACAGTACAATATAAAATAGCTAGTCACGTCACAGGTATTTTTATTTATTTATTTATTTATTTTTTTAACTTTTTTTTTTTTACATTTAACATAAATGGCCTCCACGGGTAGCTGAAAAGCTCCGGACTCACTGTCTGTCCCCGGGGACTGGGAGCAGGGTCAGTGGTGTGGCGTGTGTGGTGATCAGTCACATTGGCTGCTATTGTGAGCCAGTCCGTGGTTGATTGTGTGTTATGTATGTTTTGTTTATGTTGTTTTGTGTGTTTTACCTATTTTTATTATGAGTAGTAGTTGAGGCAGTGTTTTGGTGGTATAGATTGAGATATGATATAGATTAGTGTATTATTGTGTGTGCGTCAATCAACAGTTAAGCCATCTCTTGTTTGTGTGGATCGAGCTTGTGGGGTTTTTTTTATTTTATTTATTTATTTATTTATTATTATTATTATTATTATTATTATTATTATTATTAGCCTCACGGACAACAGCTTGTGTTGACTGACTGCCTGCCAAATGTTTGCTGGTCAGGGATGGGGCCAGAGTGTGTTTTTATGCTGCAGAAATGGTTTGCTTGGAGTCCTGACACCTCATGATTTTATTTGCTGCCAGTATTTTTACAAAGTTATTATTAGGTTTTTAACTTCTGGACAAGGTCGTTGATATATATGTTAAAAAGAATACAGCTTAAGACTGCTCCCTGAGGGAGTCCAGTCTGAAGAAGACCATATTTTGAAAGTTTTGTTCCGTATCTGACTCTGCAGAGGCGCTGACCTATGAAACTCTTGATCCAGTTTAGCATGTGTCCAGCTATTTCCATATTGTAAAGTTTAAGTAGGAGATTTTCTTTCCAAACTGTATCATATGCTGATTTCAAATCGACGGCAATTGCTGTAAGAACTTACCTTGAATCCAAAACGTCTTTTATAGCTTGACTAAAAAGAGTTACATGATGCGAAGTTGATCTTGACCTTCGAAAACCAGTCTGTTCTTCAGCAAGCAAGGAATGAGACTCCAGGTGCCAATTGAGTCTGTTGTAAATCATTCTTTCCATTGTTTTACACATAAGGCTTGTCAATGATATTAGTCTATAATTACGTTATAAATTATTTAATTCGATGTAAAATATCGGTCATGGTTAATTTTTTTAATCTAGTTTTAAAGTCCAGTTTATTGTTTTATGTATTTTTGGGATCCTTATTTATTAGAATTAAAGTTTTTTTTCTGTTTTAGCCTCTTTAGGTTCGAAGTTTGTGGAAGGTGTTCTTCTTGACTATGAAGATATGTGGCAAGAATCGGATAGCCGAACACCTCTAGTATGTTTGCTTTCAACCAGCGGTGATCCGAGCATGCAAGTTCATTTTTTTGCTAAAAAGAATGAACTGGGTATGTCATGTTTATAATATGCACTCTTTCTCATGTCTTCTAAGATTTAATGTTATTCGAATTTAAAGGAAATACCTGTATCTATATTTTTACTTTAAGCGATTGAAAACGAGTTTATAGTTCTGCTAAATTTAGACATATTCAAATAGATAGATATTAAAGTTATACAGTTGTAACTCACCTTGTATGCAACAAAACAACTGGGGACAGGTTGTACCAAGTTTCTGAGCAGTGGTCACGTAAAATCGAGATAATCCGACTTAGTGATGTTTGATGTCTGAGCTGCCTTTCTATGACATCCAAAATATACTCTATTGGATTAAGATCCGACGAGCTGAGTGGCCAGGGCATTTAATTGGTATTCGTCATTATGCTCTTCGAACCACTTCAATATTATTAAAGCCTTGTTAATTGAGGCGTTGTCAACGCTGGAAAATTCTATTTCCAGTTGGGAAAACCGATGCCATGTATGGGTGCAACTTATCCGCAATTATATTCAGGCAGTTCTCAACCAATGTATAATTCAGCCTCCACCAGCTTGTGTTTAACATGCAGTACATTTGGTGAGCAACTGTTTGCCCGGAAGATGGCGTAAATACGGTGGACTTCACTTATCCACGATCCGATATCCATGTAGGCATAGTTGGCAATGTTGGAACTATGCGATGTAGGTTACTGTAGGCACAGTTTGTAATAACACTGGGTCATCGCAAACCCAGGCTTAGAGGTAGAAAGACACTTGGCCAACAGAGGTCACAAGCGAGTTAAGAAGATACTTTTGGATATGGGGACGTCTGCTGCGCAGTCCCATATCCAACAGTGTCTACTTAACTGTAAGTTCCTATGAACTCCCACCTGAACCTGTACTGTACTGAGCTGTCAGCTGAGCCACTGTCTGGCGCTTATTTTTTCCCCCATCGGGGAAGTTTTCAGCTTCGTTTTCTTTGATGGGGTGTCGAAGTTTATCACCTTGATGTCTACTGCTTGGCTTCACCTTCACTTATCCACTTTGCATTTATTCTAAGAACGGCAGACTGTTAACAACCTATCAGACGTGTGACTCAAAGACTTGAAATGGCCAAAAGTTTCGAAACGAGTATCTTCGAAATTCGTTTCTAGTCTTCGTTCTATTAAGATTTTCCAGATACAAAATTCTCTTAAATCAGTAGCCTTTCCTATCACTCGTGAAAGTAAATTAAAAAATAATGTCTTCCCTTCTTCAGCCGTAGTTCAATAGCATTCCAATATAATAATGTGACCTCTGCGACATCCAAATGAATTCATTGAAAAATGGGGGGAGGAGTTATTGTCAGGTTCATTCTGCTTTGACTCATTAGAGTATAATCTAATAAATAATGTTAGAAGATAAACAGGGCAGAAGATATATTTAATTAAATAAGATCACGCCTTAAGTTAGACAAAATCATAAGATAATATCTAATGATCTTGAAACAGTGTTCAACCATAAATTGAGGAGGTATTCTAGAAATATCATTTTTTTGTTGCTGACTTTACAATCGACGGATCAAGAAAAGTCCCTTACTATTAACAAAAATGAAACAGTTAATGACTTAGAATCATACACTCTCGTCACCCCTAAAATATTCAATATTTGACAGAGAAGCTTTAAAAATCTGGGGTCTAAAAACAACTGTCTAAAAACATCTTGCAAATTCAAAATCATGTTTTCGTAACCACCTTACATCCAGCACTAAAATCTGTAACTAAACTTAACTAAAATTTACAATGGTGCTGCCAAAATGTTACATGGATTGTTTTTAAACCACCAGATTGTTTAACGAAACAACAAAAAAAATATTTCAGAAAAACAACATTTAAACCTGAGATGAAGAAAAAAAAGGCTGTGAGTATTTTTCTGTAATTAACTAACTATTTTTTACTTTAACCTATTTGCAATTTTGGCCTAGTTATTTAGTGATTATCCAGACAACTGAGATATTTCTTCTTTTGTAAGTGTATTTTTAACGCTAAATTGAGTCTAAATCTGAATAGATAGGAAAAATAGTTCAAAAGAAAAATCTAAATAAATACAAGTCAAAAATAACACTTTTTATGCATAGAAATCCTTGCAACGTCTGAACTATAAGTCAAAAGTTGCTAAGGTCTATTGACTAGTATTTGGTTAGAGTTGTTCCAAAACAGTACATTGGAATACGATTCCGAAATATTTCACTGGTAATAATGCCTGACTTCTCTAGATAGCATTCAAGTTTAAGTTCCTCCTCTCTTTTCCTGCCAAAATCCGAAGCTTGAGTTCTTGCAATTTTTTTAAGACTAGCAAAAAAAAGAATGTTTAGGTAAAACTTTCTTCTTTTCTTTTTTCGGATTTCTTTGTTTCGATGATTTTTGAATTAGCTTTACAGTAATACAAGCTATTTGTTAAAAATTAAAGGTAAAGAAAAATTTTACATTGAAATGAATTACAAAACAACAAAAAATACTATTATTTGTAAAGTTTATAGCATCGCTAGTTTATATTCCATCTCTTAGTTGAGATTTTCAATTAAATACTGCTTACATTGTTTTGTTTAATATTTAAAAACATTTTTAAAGAATACTATAAACTGCATAGTTTTATTCTCTTCTACAGTTTTGCATTTAATTGCAAATTACTGAATAATGACCTTTTTTCTTAGAGTATAATGCAGTTTCAATGGGACAAGGACAAGAAGTACCAGCTCGTCGAATATTGAATAAGATGTGCAAGACTGGTGGTTGGGTTATGCTGCAGAACTGCCACTTGAGCTTAGATTTCATTCAAGAAGTACTAGAAATTTTGTCCGAAGAAAATGATATTCACGAAAACTTTCGACTCTGGATAACAACGGAAGTACATCCAGTGTTTCCCATCAGTCTACTTCAGGTACACACTCATTTACATTTGTCACTACTTTTAATCGGTTGTTCCTTATATCATACTGTCGTAATTTGTTAATAATAGCATTGTCTTATTGTTTAAAATCTACGTTTCAAGGAATCAAAACTGATAAGAAACAAATTTGGATTTTCAGTTCGAGAGTTAATAAAGTAACGGTAATGTAACTCAGAAAGTAGCAGAATATCGGGTATGTGCAAACGGGATATCGGAGCAGTGAGGGGACAATGCAGTTGATGTGAAGAGTACATAAAACCATAGATCTAGTTGTAGCGTGGAAGTAGTTTCGTGGAAAAAACGGCTGCCAATGTTATCAAGAATTATCTACAGCGTGTGGCGAGACATTTCTTTACAGGGCAGTTTTACAATAGGTTTTGAGCTGATAGGACTGAAGATGCTAAATTGTACCTCGCAGGTTGACCCCCATTCATTTCTAAACATCTCGCTGTTGTCGTGAGTGGTCTTCTTTCTGTAGACCATTAATAGATTGTTCTGGAATTATTCGTTGAAGTTGGGCTCAATCACCATCAGATGTCAGTTGGATGAGGCATAAGAATTTCCGACATGCCATCTGTGATCGTAACATTAACAAAAAACTCTTGCCATCTAAGTACAAGACTGCTGATTAGTTTATATTGAAGGGAAGTAATGTAATTTTAATTATGCGTTCATGAACAAAAAGTTTTCTTATATGTTGCCATTACTTTTAAATATACATTTATATTATTATAATCATCGTATATTATTCAGCGATTCTCTGTACTTAACTGTATTCATATCTTGTTCTTCTGGGTTTCCTATACTTGTTGCAAATTAAACTATAAAATTAAAGGAAGCTAAATATATGTAATACAGCACTTAATAACAGGTTTGTGAATTGTGGTAAGAATTAGAATGATGTAAGCGATAACTTATTTAATAATGTGTTTTGAGTGTATTGTTTTTTCTTATCTCATTTCCCTTCTGAGGCCTACTTTATGAGAGCAGAAACAAGCTAGTTGTGTAATAACTTTAAAATAAGATAAAAATGACTTGAATGAAAATGAAAGTGTAGCTAACTTTTTCAGTAAATGGAGCTTGACCACTTTTAAAACTAAGTCTTCAAATGTGTACATTTCTACAGCAAAAATAAATACATCTAACTATTTTCATACTTTAGATTTCGATTAAGTTCACAAACGAGCCGCCACAAGGAATTAAAGCTAGTCTAAAAAGAACTTATGCCAGCCTCCCAGATGACATACTAGAATACAGTAATGCTCCCCAATGGCAGCCTCTGCTTTTTGGCATTGCTTTCCTGAATACCATTGTCCAGGAAAGAAGGAAATTTGGACCTTTGGGCTGGAACATTCCTTACGAGTTCAACCAGGCTGATTTTCTGGCTTCTATGAAATTCATGCAGAAGCATCTTGATGATATGGAAACGAAGAAAGTATGTTATTATTACTCTTCATTCAATTAATTTTAAATCCTTTTGCTTAGAAATGAAAAAGTGCAGTTAAAGTTGAGTTTTTCTCTTTGTTGTATGAATAACTCGCAATTGATTAGTTGCGAGTTATTCATACAACAATGGAGTTTCATACCATAAAATAATCAAAAAGATTGAACCGTTTGGAATCAGAAAATAGTGAAATTTTAATCACGTTATAATATATCCCTTTTTCCCTTATTTCGAACCGTTTTCCAGATAGAAATCCAAACTCCACAGTTTTCACTTGGGGGCGCTGTAAGCGGCGTAATTTAGTGCATAGCTATTTTATTATGCATTGATACCATTTCTATAACTTTAACTGTAATTGCTTCACAGTTAAAAGGGTGATTACGAGTTTTATTGAGCACTTTTTGTTCCAAATAATTTCAAGATCGGGTTCGAAAACGTCCTGTGGTTTTTGGTTTTAGGTTACCAAAAGAAAAAACTTACTCATTACTATACTGCTAGTAACATCAAAACTTTTAAATGGTTTGCTTCCAAATGCAAAGCAAAAGCTTGCTTACCAAAGAATTTTTCGATAAATGCAAGTTTTATCCGATATTTGTCTTAGATATTACCATGTCTTCTGAGTTAAGTTCAAAACTATAAATTCTTGAAGGTTAATTTAAATACTTTATCTTAACATTTTGTTTAGACTGTTCATCGATGGTGATAAAGTGAAATAAATCATGTCTGGATTTAAAATTTTATAACAGTGCACAGAAATGTGTTTGAAATGTCTGTATGCATTTTAATGGCTATATTAAAGGTTAACGAAGAATGTTGTATAAATCATTTGTTTGCTTATAATTTCAATTAAATTTTATTATTTTTAAATTTAAAAATTTAATTTTAGCTAAGCATTTCATATGCATTTAATAGTATTTCAATTCAAAGAGGCTCAAATCAAAAATTCTACAATTTTTTCTTCGAATTGAAGTAATAAAATATACTTAGGCTTGTAAAGACTATTTATAGCAATTTTGTAATAAGTTTTGCTTGTTTTCGATAATATCAAGCATTGAAGTTTTAGATAAAGTCGAAATCTTTTCGTAAAAAAACATCACGAAAAGAATTTTAGATAAACATCACATATCTTGCCTGTATATAAATAAACTTTTTTAAATAAGGTTATTTGTTGACTCTTCGAAAGCATAATATTTTATTCTAAATATCAATCCAATTTTAAAGTAAAATATTTAATATAGTTTTCAAAGGTCGTATATTAATGCAAATTGTTTCTAGACTTAAGTAAGAAGTATATGAAATATTCCCTTTTTTCCCTCACATCTAATATTTTATTCACTTTTACTTTCCACTTTATGAATTCGAAAATTTATATCTGGACTTTCAAATATCTTATTTGTCTTATTTCTTACATTTTCTCTTTGATTTAGGAGGCTGTTAGTTTTTTTATATTATTTTTTTCGACATTGTAAAGAGTAATAAATTAAATTCGTTATAAAAACCTTCAACGAAAAATAAATTCTTTGATGTCTGAAAATTTCATATCATTACAGTAAAGAATATAAAATTGTATGTACAGGGGATGAATGAAAATAAGAAATATTTTACTTGCGTTATTTCGAAATGTGTGGAAAAAATAAACTAAAGATTTCTTATAGAACAAAACTGTTGAAACCCATTTGTTTGAGAAATAAAATTTAATAAATATCTTTTTTTCATTCAGTAGGCTTAGAACACAAGAAAATACGGGCGACTCCTTAACATTCTCGTTTTGCTCACCTCTTTTAACTTTCTTGATCAAAACCGTTACATCAAAATTAAAAACCATTAAATTAAGAAATTATAAATATTTTTATCGTATTAACAATTCCGATTCTGTAAGGAAAGTTTAAAATCTTCTGAATGAAAATTCTTTTCTTGCGTTGACAAGAAAAATTGATCTAAACTAAACAGTTGTGAAGAATTGAAAGGTCAAAAGCGAATATTTCATATCAACACACAAAGCATTCGATATTATGCTCATGCAGATTCAATAATAATAATTTTATTCATTGTTATTGTTATTCATTAAAAATTGACTATTAGTCGGGTTGTTATGTTTAAGTGTAATAAGAAAGAACTGTGCTCGAAGACCAGAAAAAGCGTGAGTGACAATTATAAACGAGGTAACATTGAAAAATGTGCAGAGGACGTGACGTCATACATGTTTGTTGTTTTCAACCCCTTACCGATCGGTTAATTTTCAAGAAAACGGTCATAAGAGTGCCTATTTTTTTTTGGCTTTTGTATTTGTCTTACGTAATTGATTAGTGCTGACATCTAGTTTAAAATGAACTAACTATGTACAATTACCTTAATATCTTGGTACTGCCATCTGGTGTGTAAAATGAGAAATAAAATGCTTTCAGAGCAAAAGAAATTAATTAGTTTTATTTTTATTGGCGCGTTACTACTGAACACTCCAGCCCGTCAATAACACGGGAGCGAGAAATAGAGGGCGAAACCTCACCCCGTCATTTTCACGGGAGCGAGAAGGAAGGGGTTAAAAAGCATTGTATGCTTTCTGCAAGTTTTTCAATCGCATGTCATTTATTTGAATTTGAAATTTTTTAATTCAATAACTTATAATTGATTAAAAAACTTACTTTTTTAAGAGAACTGACTTTAATAATTGATTTAAACTCTTAAGATTTTAACTCCTAAAATTCTTCTAATAGAACATAATTCAAATAGGTTTAACTTAGTAGCGAAGTGAGTATGGTTTACAAAGCAAACCATATAAGATTGCATAAGGCTTTGGGGGTTGAGGTTGAGGAGCGTCACCGACCAGAGAGTGGAGTCCACTAGTATAATTTATTTACCGTTTCATATCATTGTAAGGCGATAACTAAATATTTCTATCAAATAACGGAATTCGTTTGATTGGATGGAGTCGTTATTTTTGAGTCGTTTGTTTTGGAAAATTCCTTAAAAATTTAACATAATGTAATAAATGGTAGAATGTTGAAAGTTTTCAACGTGCGCAAATTCAAGAAATTTATATTTTTTGAGAATGAAATATTGAACCAAAAAGTTGAAATATTGAACCAAAAATGAAATATTGAACCAAAAGTTTTTTGAAAGTTGTGATTCATAAAACAGTTAAATACAAATTTAATGAAGGAAAAATCGTAAAAGCCCTTACCCGGCAATGTGGATGATTCAAATTAATAACTTAATATAACTTGTCCTTCTGTAATTTTGTTTTAGAAATGCTATTACACATTTTTCTGAATGTTTAACAAACTTCACCAATATTCGAAACCTGTGTGATTATGCAAGGTCCTTAAAAAGTGTTACGTATGATAGGTTAATTGATAAATGATAGAATAACGTAGCAACTAAACAACATGGAACATCATTTATTGTTTCATAATATAAACTAAGGGACAATTTATTTTTACACTGTATGCATTGTATGCAACAAAGTTGAGTTCTTTTTATCTATTACTCAAAAATAATTGAAAATCAAAAAATATTGAACAAATTAAATTTTTATTTTACAATAATGAATTATAAAATTCATAAACTAGTTATAAGCAAGTTGCTTACGAAGCTGTTTTTGAGAAATTGCGCATTTTTTTATTATACAATTTCGAGTTTTATCGCCTAATAATAATTCTAAACAATCACCTCAAACAAATACATTTTCAATCAAATTTTACTGATTCCTTTTTCTTTCTAAAATCGATTAAGTATAAATCAATATACGCCATAAATGTAATAAAAACATCATTAAAGTATAATACAAATTGAATAATTGTTATTTTAAAGTTGTTTTTGTTTTTTTAATTTCTTTAGTTGTTGTTTTTTTTTTTAAATTTAAGGGGTACCACCCCTTTTTGCTTAATTAATTCTCCCCCACGATTGATATTTTTTTCTGAACGTAACAATTATTGTTACAGCCAAATTTAAAATTATTCAATTAAAATAATTCAAAGTATCTTTTATTGTTAGCAGATTTGGTTACTCAGATAAGTTATTCAATTTGATTGGGAATAAAAGTAAACTTAACCATTTTTCCCTTCTCTCACTATTCCCTACTATTTATATTTTGTTTGGAAGGTAACAATAACTGTTTCATAAAAATTTAAAATTACTCAATTAAAAAAAATCAACGTTTCTTATAACACTCGCGCAGATTTGGTTACGTAGATTAAATTTCCAATTTGATTGGGATAAAATGTAAACCTAACTATTTTGCTACGTCTTACCATTACAACTTCATCCAAAATCTTGATTTTAAAAAAAAATTAACATTTAAATTACTAAATTTGCAAAATGTTTTTTTTTTTCGTCAAAGGAATTATTTTAGCAATAGTACCTAAAAAGAATAGTTTAGTTTTGCTTCTATTTAAAATAATATTTTAATTTTGTATTTAATTGCATTAATTGGTTATTTTAATTGCATGTGTTGACATCGCACAATTTAAGATAAAATTGATTAAAAATTAAATATAACTTGTTTACAGCATGATGGTTGCAAAACAATATGATAAAATTTTTATCTAAATTTATTTATAGTTTTAAATGAAATTTAAATAAAGACTAAATCTTTAAGGTATCCGACTACCTTAAAAAAGAGGATTTTCACAAAAAATCACTTTTTTATTTTATTGCTTTATAATAATGCCCAATTTTTCTAGTTTTAAAAACTGTTTTGTTNCTAAATCTTTAATGGTCGAGTTATTCTCGGTATTATTTTCGACCGAGTACGACACTGATTTTCCTGTGTTTGATTATAAACAGATAAACCTCAAGGAATTACTTTTCCAATCTATTTGAATTAATTTGCGAATACAAATCACTATTCTCCATATTAAATGACATTTAAAATCAACGTTACTCATTCGGCATAACGAATATGATTTATTCAAACATTAAATACAGTTAGTTCTTATATAATAACTTTGATTTTGATTACCTAATATTTTTTTCTGTTTTTGTAAGTGGTAGTTTCATGTTTTTCAACAAAAGTCTTATAAAGGGAGTTCATAGTTATAATAATAATGAATATCTAATGACATTAAAATAATAATTAAGATATTTAAAACTTTTTTTTTTCGAATGGGCGCCTGTGTTAACATCCGTCAATTCAGGCATCTACAGGGCGATTTTGTTGACCTCTCTGTCAGGGGCGCCATATTAGATGGGCCAACGTCGCTCCCACAGTAAGGACAGATAGTACAGAGAAGGAAAGAACATCCATGACTTGCCCGGAATTCGAACCCAGAACCTTTCTGATGCAAGGGCAGTTCCTTGCCCCCTACACAGACCGGTCGGCATATTCAAAACTAATACTGTTCTTTGCATTCTCGGAGAGTTTAGATTTGGGTGAAAATTTCGTTTCGTTTCCTGCTGGGTGTAATATATAGGCTTATTGCAAAAGTTTTATTCATAAAAATTATGTTTGTGATAGGGTCCATGTTGGCGAACCATAAGATTTATGCTGGCGGAGGTGAAATATGGAGGTCGCGTAACTGACGATTTCGACAAAAGACTGCTCACAACTTACATGAATGAATGGTTCAATGAAAAGATACTTCACCACCATTTTGAATTCTATCCAGGCTACAAATTGCCAGTGTGCAATAATCTGAGACAATGCTTGGATGGAATCAGAAGAATTCCAGCCGATGATTGCCCTCCAGTGTTTGGATTGCATCAGAATGCAGATATAACGTAAGTACCATAGAAATTTATTTAGTGAAAAAAATTCCGTAAAAACGCAGAAAAAAAACTAAACTGTTTAACTAAAACTGTTTAATTATTTAAGTTCTTGTTCAAAAAGGTATATAACTGGACATCTCATTCACAAAATTTTGGAAAACTCTTGATTTTTTTCGGGGTATTTCTTTTAGATATTTCAAAATATTGTTATTATTTGATAAATATCTAGTTGATAAACATCTAGTCTGGTGGGTAAGAATTTCTTACCTTGTCTTCAGCGGGGTTGCAGTTTATGGGGCAGCTTTTAGCTGTTTATGTGATCGGACTGTACTTTCAATGATCGTGTTTTAGTGGTTCAGATTTGACTTCTAATGTAATGTACCCGGTGGTTTCAGAGCCGGGAAGTAATTTACAGAGTTATACTTATTTTATTTCTGTAATATAATTTAAACTTCTGTAAATATCTTTTTTATTTTCACAGAAATTTTCCGTTATTAATTCTCAGTTATTTTACGCGAGACTCACGATAAATGATTTTCAGATGGTTCTCGCATACAATCTTTTTACAGTGCATCTTGGAGTGCTTTGTTTTTGCTTGCAGCTTAGCTGTTGATTTGCATGAAAAGAATAAACACACGAATATAAATAAGGTAATGGAATATAATTAATATGTTAATCGAATATAAATATGCTTGCACGTTTGGCATAAATATGGTACCATATACATTTGGTGATGAGTTCATCCTGTTTAGTGGTATGCCTGAACCAATTTAATATATGACGCATAATAACATCCAAATTAATAAAGAACCAAGAAATTCTGATTTAATTTTGAAGTGTTAATTCTCAGTCTTAATCTTCTCTTAAATCTTTTTCCTTGTGATGAGTTGTTAATCAGAAATTTTGCCAATGCTCGATTTCGAGTACGCAAGATGTTAACTCTGCGGGAATTTTCCTAGTGATTAAAACAATTGAAAACCTGCAAGTGACGTTATCATAAGTGAAACGTGTCTTTTTGTTGACTCAGATATCAATCAGGTTCGACACGCCTCCCTGACGTCACTTACAGGTATCCAATTAAATTGATTTAAATCCCATGTGTAATCAATTTACTTCTTCTTGAGTTGCAAGAACACTATTGGAAGAAATTTGAAAAAATTAAGAAGTGGTTGGTAAAATATTCGCAAAATAAACGAATTTGTTTACGAATAATATTACATGAATTTTATGTTTATTGGATAACCATTTTCTGTTATACTCGTATTTCGACGTTTCAGTTTTACATAAATTTTACGCATACTTAGTAAAATTTAAAGGTGAAATATACGTATTTTGGACGTAAAATTGATGGTTCTCCACATGGGAATTCCTTATTTTTGTAATTATTTGAAATTTTTAGGCTGTCAAAAGCTCTTGTTGTCAGAACAAAATTAACAGGATTTCAAAATTTAAAGATAATCAGTTCATATCTACAGCTTTTTGGCTATTAACTTATTGAAGAGGTTGATGGCTACCGAATTTCCCCAAAATAACCAACCATATGAAATATCGAAAGAAAACGAGAAGATAGTGGAAATGTACGTTTTGATCCGTTTTGAAACAAGAAACTATGTAATTTTTTTAAAAAAAAAAATAACCATTTGCAGCTACAACTTGGCACAGTATGAGAACAAAAATGACAGTTGATCTTATAACTATTTCAGCAGAACAGTCTGACATGCAGCAGAAAATATTGTTTTATAGTTTTTCCTGTCTGTGCCGCCATCTATCTGCTTATTTTGTAACCGATTGTGAATTCTAGTTGGCGAAACAAATTACATTTCTGTCTACTTCAATTTTTTTATAAATTTATTTTTCATACCTAAAATAATCGGCTTATTTACACTCTCTCGGAGCGACAATAAAAAATTCAAAAGCCTAAACCTTAACTGAAACTTTTTAAAAAGTATTTGATTTTTAAAAAACTTTCCCTTAAAAATGGTTTCTATTCTACTTTTCATGACTCTTATAGTTTTTTAAAAGTTTTATAATGAGACCGTCTTTTGAGTTCTATAAATTACTAATATTTTTAATATAAAAATTAATATATTAATTGCTATCTTCAATATTTCAGTATGGAACAATGTATTATACATTGTTAAATGTTTAATTAAAACAAAAAGGATTTCCTCATATATACAAATTGAGTTTGAAAATTGTTGTTTTTAATTTAACATTTTGTTTAATGTAGTGGACCTAAATTATGTTGAAACAATCGTAACTGAAAAAAATATATTTGTATATTTTAAATTAACACGAGAATACCGTATTGTGCGTCATTGAACAGACTGTATTGGAACAAACGTAATCGATGCGATTATCATATGCAACGAAAATAAAAAAAAGTAATATGCGTGCTAACATTTAATAAAATCAGATGCAAAAAATTATGAAGTTATATCATGCTTCTAAGACTGCAAATTTGAAAAAAGATTTGTCAGGTTCGTGAAAACGTGCTTTTTCCATATTCTTCCGATCTCATCGATACTGTTAAATTATGCAAGAAATAAACGGGAAAAAAACGGATTTTAAAAAAAAGATACTGTGAATTATATAAAGTGAGAGCAATGTAAAATAAAACCTTTCTATTCACTCAATGAAATAATAAGTTTATTTGAAGAAGCGCATAAGAAGTGCAAACATTAAAGTTATTGTAAATATAAAGAATTATTATTTTGGTAATAATATTTTCAAAATTATAGAAAACTGGGGTACTTTTTGTGTTAGTTATTGAAGGCAAAGGTTTTAGAGCGTTAAATAATCTAGTTTAAAAAGAGAAAGCTTTATTTGTGGTAATCTTTTATTTCCAGTGTGAACACCCTATTTTTAAATGGGTGATTTTATATTTCTGTTCACGATCGAAGTACCTTTGTTTTTCTTAAATATTTAAAATCTTTCATTCACTGTTTCAAATAAATTTGGGCCTTTATATCATTTTAAACTTGTACACTCTTTATTTTTCATAACTGACACGATTGTTACATACAATTAAAGTATTATTAATGTTTTTTTTCATTTTTATTGCAACTTCAAAGCATATTTCATTTTTGTTTAAAAATAGTTATTAATAAACAAATTTATTTAACGTTTAAATTTTCCAAATATGTTTTTAAAATTCAACTGTAAGCATGGTGAATAAAACCTTCCACCAAACCTGTCATTTGCCTCAGCTGTAAATTAAACATTGGCACTAATTTGCATCCACAGTTAATCTTTATTATCTTTTGAAAAATCAAACGGAAGTGATTTTAGATTTGGAGCTAAAAAGTTTAAGAACCCAATTGCAGGTCAAAGTGGCTCTCTCCCGAGACAATAAAAATACCAGTGCGTACAAACGAAGACCATACTAGCACTTCATTGAAGTGCTCTGTTAGATATTTTGAACCTTGATGAATTGTAATATAGTTCCAAGTCACTACCACCTTAATATGATGCTAATTTTGGACCTTATTATTGCTCTTCTTAAACTTGATTACAAAGTGCTATGGTTCAACTTGTACGAAAACTTGGTTCAATTTAACGCATTTTAAGAGATGCAGCAAATTTGCAATGGTTTATGGTTACATATTAACATACATATATTCGTATAAACGCGTACATACATTCGTATAAACAGTATAGTTTATGGTTTAAAATAAAAACATCATGGTTTATGATTTCAAGTACTAATATTACGTTATGGTTTAAGATTCCATGTAAAAATATCTATATACATATTAACAGCATGGTTTAAAGTACGAAAATTGTATCATTTTTAATGGTTACATATACATATAAACAGTATGGTTTACGGTACTAACATTATGATTCAACGTTGCTCCAATTTTTCAAAGAGTGTAAAATTAGTTTTATTATTATACCCACTATTTAAATGTTTTAGTTTAAAATTTTATGGTAATTTTAAATTTAACTTTTAAAATATTTTCAAATTGTTAGACTTTTTTATTAACTTAGAAAGAGGACAAAAAAATAGTCATTATAAACCAAATCATTTTTTAAACGACAAAGAGTTTTGTTTTGATGTTACGAGCCATTTTAAATTAATTAAATATCTGGTTTATTACAAAGACTGTTGCAGATACTTAGTAGTGTGTTTTGTGTTTAATTAATTAGAAAATATTAAAAGACGATGCAATTTGTATAATACAGCTTTCTTCTTTATTTCCACCTTTTCCTATTAAAATATATTTTAAAACTCCATTTATTATTGATCAACAAAACATAATAACGTTTTCTTTTTTTGGAAAATAAAGACACATTTTGATACATCTGCATAGTTAGAAATCAATTCTATAAATATTTAATTTTTAGCTATTGATAGTTTTTTACACAATATTTGTAATATTATTATTATTTCTCGGAAAAAAGGGTTAAATAACAATTTCTAAAAGGATATCGTAAACTTTGTTCTAAGTAGACTAAAGTGAATAATAACGGAAAAAGCACAAATAAAGTACAGATGTGGACATTCTATAGTTTTGGTACTCTATTACCAATATAAAATAACTAAAAATCATAACTATATTTACCTGTAAATCATTTATTTGGTCCCCATTTAAAGGTATGCATTTACCAAAAATTTTGATTTATTATCTTTTCCTAATGTTATTCTCTGTTATTACTTCGTTTTTAGTATTATTTTCAATTTAAAATTTTAATCTTGAAGCGAAAAGTGATCTTCCTTTATTAGAATATAAAGTAATTGTATGATATTACTTTGCTCAAAACATTTTAGGATAAACATACGCAGTAACCGCTTTTTAGTTTTCAAACTGTAAATACGGTTTCCTTACTTTTATACTAATTTTTTTGTTAAAACTGAGTATGGTTAGCATATGCATTTAAAATAATGAATACAATATAATTAATCAAATCATAAAGTGATGTTACGAATTAACTTTCCACTCTGATGTTAAATAATAAATTCGGAAAACAATATTTCATGAGTATTTATAGTAACATAAAGTTAAATA